ATTTATCGTTTAATAATATAATTTTTATAAAAATAATAATTAAGTATTTTGTTATAACTAATGATTATCTTAATTATATTTTAGATTTTTTATATTCAAAATAAGATGTTTATCTCGTATTTGATAATATTTATCGATAGTTAGTTACACAAATTAAAAAATAAAGCTTTAATAAGTTGTATTCATGCAAAATTTACTTGTGATCTTGAATTTTAAGTAATATACATCAATAAACAATATTTTATATATAACAAATTATTTTTAAAAGTTTTTATCAAATACTTTATAATATAGTATAGATTATATATGTATAAAAGAATATTTCGTAATATGCATATATGGTATGTTTGTTAATGCTATTTATTTTAATATACATAATAATTAAATAAAATGGGTTTAATTTTTTGTTAGTTCCCAAGTGGCTTCCTTCGTTGACCCGATAAATAAGCACAAATTCGAAAATTTGTTGCATTGTTTATTCATACCAAACACAAATAATGTATACCATATTATAAAATATTTGATAAAAATTCTTAAAAATTATTTTTTTATATATGAAATATTGTTCATTGATACATATTACTTAAAATTTAAAATTACAAATAAATTGTGCATGAATACAACTTGTTAAAGCTCTATATTTGAATTTATGTAATAAATTACAGATAAACATAATCAAATACATGATAAATATTTTATTTTTAAATATAAAAATTTTGAAATATAATTAAGATAATCATTGAGTTCTAACATAATAGTTAATTATTATCGTCATAAATGATATATTATTAAATTAAAAATAAAATACTTTTTATCAAACCTAAATTAAATTAAAAAAGTTACAAAAATGAGACTTTTAAATAGTTAATTTGATACTGATATCGATATATATTTTTTTCAATTTTTTATGATATCCTCAAATTTATATTTTATTTAAAATAAAAACATTGTCGCTTTCTCAAAACCACATAAAACCGTATTATATCGACATAAACAAAACAAAATGAAACATTAAAATCGAAATGTATCTCGTTGTATTGCGCGAGTACCTTTCTAGTTATACTTTACGTTTTCATATTTTACAAACGCAATATGTTGTTTATAAATCAGTTTTTACATGTTGTTTTATGTTCATGCATAAAAAGTAGTGTTTGAACAATGTTGTATGATTTATTGAATTTTAGGTACCAAAATGGAAGTTTTAAAAAATACGTTACCTAAAATAGGAATCAAGTTAAAAATATAACGTATGACAAGACAAAACTCGCTATCTCATGTTTAACGCAACATGAGAAGGGAAAATACTGGGTTAGGTAAAATAAGGATATGTGAGCGACGTAAACCTTGACTTGAGGTTGCAACCAAAGTTGTATGAATCACATGTCATTTGACACGTGTTTCTAATATAAATTTACATATAATTCAACTGTTTTTATTTTCTTGGAATCATGTGAGACAAGACCGTTTTCGTGAGATACGATTTTTATATTTGCAACTTTACAGCAAAACACTGTGAATGTAACCTTCACAGTGTTTTTGCTATGAAGATTCAACTTTTTTTACTTTCACAACATTTTGTTATGAAGTTTCAAGAGTAAAAATCATGTCTTACGTAAACAGTCTTGTCTCATGTGAACCCAACCCTATATAACTATTGTTCTCTTATAAATATAAGGGTTGTTTGTTTACCTCTTAATAGTTTCATTAAGAGGCAACATCTGAATCATTAAGAGGTGAATCTTGTTTGGCAAAAAAAAATTATGTCTCTTAATGGTCTTAAAAGTCTCTGATGATTTTATCTCATGAGCCTCTCTTAACCATTAAGTGTCCTGATTTCATTATAAACAACTACCAAACAATTATATTTCATTTTGCATTATATCATGAAAGTCTTTTAATTATTTTAACCACTTAATCATTCTGTATTAAACCATTCAGCAACTGCCAAATAAACATGTAATAACAAGATCCAATTATATATATATATATATATATTTGGTAATAAAAAGTAGGAAATCAAACAAGTGAGTATTGTATAAGAGTTGGGTTGTGCCACGTAAGAGTAGGTGGGAACCCCTTTCAGTCGCAAATAGACAATCACCATATTCAAAATTTGTGCCTGACAAATTAATTGCCTACATAAATCATCAAATTCAAATTTCAAAATTAAAATCAAATCCAAATTCATAATTAATTACTAAAATTTTGATAATTTCCAGAGTTAATTCCGTCACTGTTCATACAGTTTTGAGTTCTGTATACTAGAATTTAGAGGGGGGTTTCTCCTTCCGTCCCCTGAAACCCTCTCATTCTTACGATCTCCACAAGAAGATAGAGCTGGCATTCTTTGATCTTATCGCCTTCAATTCAAATGGGTTTGTTTCCATTTTCAATCATGGAATCTTCAGCTTGATAGGTACCTTTTTAATCTCTTTTATCTTTAATGTCTACTTCATAACGATTTGGGTTTTCTTTTCTCTTCACTGGGTTATCGGGGGTTTTTGTTCCAATTTCTGGAACCGGTGGGTTTTGGTTAATTGATTGGTTCATTTGTGGGCAATGTATATTCTTTTCTTGACTCTTGCTCTGGTTTAGCTGATTCGTTCTTCTCTACCTACAAGTTTGTTAAATTTTCCTAGTTTGATCTTTCAATTTGATTATGTGTTTGTAACTTCATTGGGGGTAATAAGGGTTTTTAATTTGATCTTACTTTCCCTATTTCATGTGATTATAGCTTAGATTCATCATTATAGGAGTATTGTTTTCATTTGAGGTTCATATCTGAAATCTGATTGCTTTGCAATTGATTTGTTGTTTTGGAGATTAATGATATTAGTTTGCCTTTCTTGTGTTTGATTAAATGCCAACGCCAAATCTGTAACTTATGTGACTTAAGGCATCATTTTTACCCAAATTCTTGCAGGATTTTGTAATCTTTGTATGGAAAAATTCAGCATTCTTATGAGTTTATGGTGGCCATGGAGGTCAATTAAGTTATCCTAGTGTTGTGAATTCTAAGAACCCCACTAAGTTTCTTGGAAGATTGAGCTGTTTCTGTGGTAATTTCTTGGAGGATTAAGCTGTTTCTGTGGTAAATCTGAACAAATCTTGTAGAATATGGCTCGTGGAATACGAGCGAGGCTAAAAAGAAGCAGTCTTTACACATTTGGATGCCTTCGACCACCTCGTGAATCTATTGACGAGCCTCATCAGTTTCAAGGGCCTGGATTTTCAAGAAACGTTTGTTGTAATCAGCCCGGTTTCCACCAAAAGAAGCCTCTCAAATATTGTTCGAATTATATCTCGACCACAAAGTACAATGTGATCACATTCTTACCCAAAGCCCTCTTTGAGCAATTCCGTCGTGTTGCTAATTTGTATTTCCTCCTAGCTGCAGCTCTATCTCTCACACCCGTTTCGCCTTTCTCGCCTGTTAGCATGATTGCGCCTCTAGTCTTTGTGATCGGGCTTAGTATGGCAAAAGAAGCTTTGGAAAACTGGCATCGGTTTATGCAGGATATGAAGGTAAATATGCGAAAAGTTATAGTTCATATTGGGGATGGTGTATTTGTTCGGAGGCCATGGATGAAAGTTCAGGTTGGAGATGTGGTCAAAGTTGAAAAAGATCATTTCTTTCCGGCGGATTTACTGTTCTTATCGTCTAGTTATGAGGACGGAATTTGTTATGTGGAGACCATGAACTTAGATGGGGAGACGAACTTAAAGGTTAAACGATCTTTAGAGGTAACGTTACCGTTGGATGATGATGCTGCTTTTAAAGACTTCAGAGCAACGATCACATGTGAGGATCCGAACCCAAATCTTTACACTTTCGTGGGTAATTTTGAATACGATCGACAAACGTATCCCCTTGATCCGAGTCAGATTCTGTTACGAGATTCTAAGCTTCGTAACACAGCTCATGTGTATGGAGTTGTGATATTCTCCGGTCATGATAGCAAAGTTATGCAAAATGCCACCAAATCCCCTTCGAAAAGGAGCACGATTGAGAAACAGATGGACAAGATCATTTACGTGCTTTTTACCCTTCTTGTGTTGATCTCATTGATCAGCTCAATCGGGTTTGCTATCAAGACTGGTTACCAGATGCCGAATTGGTGGTACATGCCTCAAGATGCAAAAAAAATTTATAATCCGACTCGGCCTTTCTTGTCGGGTTGTATTCATCTGATTACCGCTCTTATTCTTTACGGGTATTTGATACCCATTTCGCTTTATGTTTCCATTGAGCTCGTGAAGGTCCTGCAAGCATTGTTTATAAACCGAGATATACACATGTACGATGAAGAAACCGGTACTCCTGCTCAAGCCCGGACGTCGAATTTAAATGAGGAGTTGGGGATGGTGGACACGATTCTTTCGGATAAAACCGGCACGTTGACATGTAACCAGATGGATTTTCTGAAATGTTCGATAGCTGGAGTCCCGTACGGTATGCGTTCTAGTGAAGTAGAACTTGCTGCAGCCAGCCAGATGGCTATGGACCTCGTAGGACACGATCACAATTTTCCAAGAACCAGTGCACCACACGGGTCCGAGATCGAATTGGAGGTTGTACCTACTCCGAGAACCGGAAGCTCTCATAACCGAATGAAGGGATTTAGTTTCGAGGACAGTCGTTTGATGAATGGGAATTGGTTGAGGGAGCCAAATGCAGATATAATCTTGTTATTTTTCCGTATACTTGCGCTTTGTCACACCGCGGTTCCCGAGCTAAACGAGGAGACGGGCAGTTTTACGTATGAAGCCGAGTCGCCAGATGAAGGAGCTTTCCTTGTTGCTGCAAGAGAGTTTGGGTTCGAGTACTGCAAACGAACTCAATCGAGCATATTTGTTCGTGAGAGACATCCTCCTTCTCACGAGCCGGTTGAAAGGTATCAATATAATCTTGATCTTGATAATTTTATCGTTTTTGACTAATCCCACGGGTCCCTGAAGTTAACCGTCACACGATTAATTTATCTTTTTTTTACTAAACCCAATCGGGAGCAAACTCAATGTTTTACAAGTTGAGCCGCCAAGAATTCGACTAATCTATCTTGTATGCATCTAAATGTAGGGGTGTTCGGCAGTGCGGTTTGGGGTAAAACTGCAAACCGCATTGCACATGCGGTTTGAGCATTTTCTCAAACTGCATACACCTCAAACCGCAAAAAACTGCATTGTGAAATGTTGTGTGGTTTATGCGGTTTGTACCTAACAGACTTTATGTCTACAATCCAATATCATAAAATCAACTATAACGTATTAACGTTGCTGTAGTCCAAAAAAAATATAAAGTTTCAACAAGGCCGATTTCCAAATACTAATACGTAAATCAGAAATGGTCTAAGAAGTAAAAGATCAACTTCAAACTAAATCGTTGATACTTGAAAGTAACTTCACATAGAAGGTAGAAGTCGCAGATCAACATCAAAAATGAAAAAAAAAAATGGTGAAATCGTATCATGAATGTTGATTAAAGTCTAAAAGAGCCTAATGGATTATTGGGCTATAATTTATTAACATTATTATTCAAAGTCCAAAACTTTGGACTTATTAATGGTATGGAGAAAATAGATTAAAAATATTACATAAATTTAGCAATTATTATATATATATATATATGTTGTATATAAAAATAAAAAACATATACATATATATAATGTGCGGTGCGGTGCGGATTGAACCGCAGTTTGGTAACTCTAAAGCGCAAACTGCACCCCATAATGCGGTTTTGGTCAAAATCCAACCCGCAATGCGGAAGTTCTAAACCGCGCTTTCAGGGCGGTTTGGATGAACACCCCTATCTAAATGTTTGTATCCTTGCATATTATTGTTGAACAGGGAGTTCAAACTTCTCAATCTTTTGGATTTCACAAGCAAAAGAAAGCGGATGTCGGTTATTGTCAAGGATGAGACCGGACAGATTTTGCTACTGTGCAAAGGTGCAGACAGGTTAGTCTCTCGCCATCGTTTATTTTTCTCCTGAATTCGGTCATTTCATTCCTAACACAAGTCCATTTTTTTGATTGAAAATGCAGCATCATCTTTGATCGTTTATCCAAAAACGGAAGATCATTTGAGGAGGCGACCATAAAGCATCTAAACGAATACGGAGAAGCTGGTTTACGCACACTAGCATTTGCTTACAGAGAGCTTGAAGTTTCCGAATATTCTGCTTGGAATGACGAGTTTGCCAAAGCCAAAACTTCCATTGGAGGTAATCGAGACTTGATGCTTGAACGTTTATCGGATGTGATCGAAAGAGATTTGATCCTCGTTGGTGCAACGGCCGTGGAGGACAAGCTGCAGCAAGGGGTAGCAATCCGTTATCGAGCAAATTTTGAAGATTTTTTTTCTTTTCTGTTGGCTAATGGTTTCTTTCATATATAGGTGCCTCAATGTATCGATAAATTGGCGCAAGCTGGTCTTAAAATTTGGGTTCTAACCGGCGATAAGATGGAAACCGCAATCAACATTGGGTATGTTTCTTCAAAATCCAAATTGGTGGACAAAATTTGGCAAAGAAAATATGAATTTTTTTTGGGTTGTGCAGGTTTGCTTGCAGTTTGCTTCGGCAGGGGATGAAGCAGATATGTATAATGACGAACGGGGATATGTTAACCCATGATTCCAACACGGTACTTGTTCTTAGGCTATGTTTGGCAAACCATCAGCTGGCTTATTTTTTGTGCTTATTGAAAAAGCCCTGATAAGTAGGGCTGTAAACGAACCGAACGAACACGAATGGAGGTAGATTGGTGTTAGTTCGTTTAACTTAACCAAACAAATGAACAAACACGAACCGTAAACAAATGAAATTTTTTGTGTTCATGTTTGTTCGTTAAGAAAACGGGCTTGTTCCTGTTCGTTCGTTAAGAATGCTAAACGGACATACTTAAAGGAACATAAAGAAACATAATTGATTTTATATATTATTGTCATTATATATAGGGTTGGATTCCCGTGAGAAGGGAAATTATGGTGAGAAACGTAAGAAGGTATCTCCACCCTTGGATCAATCCTAATTGAATGTCAACACTAATGAGGTGCATCGAGATGCATCGGGTCAATTCGTTTCTAAAGCGCAATTCATGGGTGGGCATGAGATTAAAAGTGATTAAGGGTTCAAATCTCTTCTTACGCTTCTCAGCACTATCCTTTGCATATATATATATATATATATATATATAGAGAGAGAGAGAGAGAGAGAGAGAGAGAGGTTCGAGGGAAAACCCCTAAAAATGAAAAACTGAGGAACATCGTGGTGACCATTCACCTGTACGATATGCACATGTGCATACAAGTAATTGAAGTTGTTTCTTGGTTTCTGTGCATGTTATGCGCATGTGCATACCGAACAAATTACTTGTTTATACATGTGAACACCATATAGATGAATGGTTACGAGTGTTCCTCATTTTTTTTTTGCGGTTTTTTACTTGAACCTGACTCTCTCTCTCTCTCTCTTTATATATATATATATATAATATGAGGGAGGTTCTTGTAGGAACCTTGAATGTTATAGGAACCCATCAACCACCTCTTTTATGAGTATTCATGATGAATGTAGTGACAAATATTCACAATGAAGCATCGATTCCTAAAATATTTAAGATTTCTAAATGAACTTGCCCCTATAATATATACATATATGTGTGTGTGTATATATATATATATATAAACGAACAAACATAATTGAACAAATGGGACCTTTAATGGTTCATCGAACGTTCGATTTGCTTAAGGCCCTAGCCATAAGTTAGCTTTTCGAAAAGCTACTTCACGTCGCGTTTCAATAAGCTTAAGGGGTTTTCTCCACTTTTTTCTAATTATGCCCCTTTTCCAACTATGTTCTTTTAGGTCATTTTATATTGTCATAGAGCTTATTAGCTGGTTTTTACTAAACATGACTAGTTTATCAGTTTAGCTTATCAGCTAACAGCTAGCTTGCCGATCAGGTTGTAAAGGATAACATTTTGATGCAAATTACGAACGCATCTCAAATGGTTAAGCTTGAAAAAGATCCACATGCTGCATTTGCGTTGATTATCGATGGGAAGACGTTAACTTACGCTTTAGCAGACGATTTGAAGCATCAGTTCTTGAATCTAGCCGTTGATTGCGCGTCTGTCATATGTTGTCGTGTCTCACCTAAGCAAAAGGCATTGGTAAGCTCTTTTTGTGGCTTCTGAACGAATTTATAGCCGCTCGATTGTATTTTTAAAGTTGTAAACGTTTAAATTAGGTTACGAGATTGGTAAAAGAAGGTACTGGTAAAACGACTTTAGCAATCGGAGATGGTGCAAACGATGTTGGAATGATCCAAGAAGCCGATATTGGCGTTGGTATCAGTGGCGTTGAAGGAATGCAGGTTTGTAATACAGTAAAAAAACGCTCTTTTAACATAATCTCGAGCATAGGCTGTGGCTTACACGACTTCTTGGCTTTCTGCAGGCCGTGATGGCTAGCGACTTTGCTATAGCACAGTTTCGGTTTCTTGAAAGGCTTCTTGTCGTACATGGCCATTGGTGCTACAAGAGAATCGCTCAAATGGTACCAACCGAGCTAACTTGGCATAAATTTGAAAAACTTATCTTTGTGAAACTGTGTCGGAGTCTCACATCGGCTAGACAAAGACCATGGACCATCAAACATGTATATATGTAGGAACTTCCCCTGATATTGAAAGGGGCTCTATATATCCTAACATGGTATCAAAGATGGAGTCTAGCACCACCTAGGGACTTGACACACTTTTTCACCTCCGTTCTTGGGGGAACTGTCTAGTCTCTTCTTGAGGATCCATATTGGAGTTCCATCTTAGCCAGACACCGTCCATCAAACTTGTACACACACACACACACATATATATATATATATATATATATATATATATATATATATGGGTTCAAGTTTAGGGAAAAACCCCAAAAAAAATGAAACCCCTAGGAACACTCTGGTAACCATTCATTTGGACGGTCATAATACAAAGAAACATCTTCAGTTACTTGTATGCGCATATAATAAATGGTTACCAGAGTCTTCCTCAATTTTTCATTTTTTTGGGATTTTCCTCTGAACCTCCCTCTCTCTCTCTCTCTCTCTCTATATATATATATATATATGTATGTATGTATGTAAAGCCAGGTTCATACGAGAACATTAACCAAATAAAAGAATAAGAAAAACGGTCGAATCACATGTGACTTTACACTAAAATCACAAGTGATTCATGCAACCTTGGCCGCGATCTATGGTTGCGGGCCACGTTGCCTCCACACCTTTGCATTGACCGTTAGTGTAAATTCATGGTGATTTTGCACATGCTTCAGCCATTTTTGTGTTCTCTAATTTGGTTACTGTTCTTGTTTGAACCTCCCTCTATACACACACACATATATATATATATATATATATATATGAACCTCCTGTTAGGGCTATTTTAGAGAGAGGTTCAAAAAGGTTCCGGATATCCTAACAAATCGCTAGCTCATTTGATTGACTCTAAATTCGTTGCGATGCAGATTTGCTATTTCTTCTACAAGAACATCGCTTTCGGCCTAACGCTCTTCTACTTTGAGGCGTTTACCGGCTTCTCTGGACAATCGGTCTACGATGATTGGTATATGCTATTATTCAATGTCGTTCTCACATCATTGCCTGTGATTTCACTCGGAGTTTTCGAGCAAGATGTTTCTTCCGAAATCTGCTTACAGGTTGGCCTAGACCTTATTTAATTTCATCATTAATTTATCATATATCCTTTCATCAACTATTTAAAAACGTACAAAACGTGTAAACGATTGTGAAACCACCGCAGTTTCCGGCGTTATACCAACAAGGACCACGAAACCTGTTCTTCGACTGGTACAGAATCTTCGGGTGGATGGGAAACGGTCTCTACTGTTCCCTTATCGTCTTCTTTCTCAACATCATCATCTTTTACGACCAAGCTTTCCGGGTCGACGGCCAAACCGCTGACATGGCGGTGGTAGGCACCGCTATGTTCACCTGCGTTATCTACTCCGTCAACTGCCAGATCGCCCTCACGATGAGCCATTTCACATGGATCCAACACTTTCTCATCGGATTCAGCATCGGCGCGTGGTACGTTTTTCTCATATTATACGGCATGTTTTCGCCAAAAATCTCGAAAAACGTGTACCAAATCTTCATCGAAGCTCTTTCACCGGCACCGATTTACTGGCTTAGCATACTTCTAGTAGCTGTAGCCTGTAATCTTCCGTATTTGGCTCACATATCGTTCCAAAGATCGTTCAACCCGATGGATCATCACGTGATTCAAGAAATCAAATATTACAAGAAAGACGTCAAAGATCGACATATGTGGCGGAGAGAAAAATCAAAAGCGAGACAGGAAACGAAGATCGGGTTCTCGGCAAGAGTTGACGCGAAGATCAGACATTTGAAACTTAAGTTGCAGCGGAAATCATCGGTGTTGAGTCCTCGGGCTGTTTTGTACCCAACCCCAACGTGAAACTGTATACTTCTGGCTTGTTTTTCTTCGGATTTTTTTGTTGTGTATAATTATATACCGGGACGGGGTCGAGATGGTCGTTGTTTATCGGTTTCAGTCTCCGACCCGTTGTCGAAAATATCGAGTTTTCGAGTGGTTAAAACTATAAGGGAAGAAAACGATAGGGTGTATGTATGTACAATTCTAACAAGGATATAGATAGTTCATAGTTTTCCTGACCCTTTTCATTGCTTTTGAGAAACGGAGGACGTCCGCCACATTTTTACAAGTTACATTTTTTGGTTTTTTTTTTTAATTTTTTTTTAATGTTTTTTATACTATTAACGTCATTTAAGATTTATTGGATCATCTAATGTTCGGATGGGTTCTTTAAAAGTTGTACATCATGACAATTAATTTTTAAAAAGCAAATTATATGAGAAAATAACTTATTTTAATTTGGTTTTTATTTTGGGTAACGTATTTTCATAACTTCTATTTTGATACCTAAGATATAAATTTTTAAAAATTTAAGCATCCAGGTAACCGGTTGAAGCATTAACCGGTGGTTACCATGTTGATGTGGCGAGTGATGTGGTATCTTGTTAATGCTTCAGCAAATAATATTGAGTTGGATACCATACCACTCCCCACATTAGTATGGTAACCGGTTAATGCTTCAACCAGTTACCCGAATACTTAAATGTGTAGAACTTTAAATCTTAGCTACCAAAATGGAAGTTTTAGAAGTACGTCACCAAAAATAGGAATCAAGTTAAAGTACGTTACTTTTTCATACAATTTGCCCTTTAGAAATATATATTATATATTATAAGAACTTTCTTTTTTAATTAGGAGTAAAATAGAAAACTAAATATTTACTTTTAATAATGAATACTTATTTTGAAATAAACTAAAATAATAACGAAGACATTTATTTTGGTACGAAAAAATCTGTTTAATTTTTTAATTACTCACACAAAACTTTATATTTATATAAATATTGAAAAATTATCATATAAAATCATTATCACATTACATACCGTTTGGTTCCTGTAACCGGTTCGGTTATACAACCGGTCCTCATAGCCAGTTACATTGGGTTGGGTTCGGTGTAGGATATTTTCATTTGGTCCCTCTAATTGGTTATACGACTGGTCCACATAGCTGGTTCCATTGGGTTGGGTTGGGTTCGATGTAGGGCAAATTTGGGTTTTTGTGGGGGATAAATGGTTGGGCATGGTCGGTTACGAACCAATTACAACCAGTTGATCCTTTTACCGTTTATGCATCAAACTTGGTTTCAGTTAATCTCGACCGGTCCCTAAGGACTGAGAAAGTACACTCATCTTTGCACCGACACTTGCGAGAATCCCGACATTGTTTCTTGTCGATTTACCTCCATTGAATATCTCGATCATCAACTCGAAATACTCGATTTCTCGAATCCCATCGGGTTGAACGATCTTTAGAACGATACGTGAGCCAAATAAGGGAAGGTTACATGCCACTTCTATCAGTAGTATGCTAAGCCATTGGTAAAACTGGTGCAGGAGAAAGAGCTTATATGAAGATTCGATACACATTTTTTGAGATTTTTGGCAAAAACGTGCCGTATAAAATCGAGAAAAATGTACCATGATCCGGTGCTGAATCCGATCAGAAGGTATTGGATCCACGTGAAGCGGCTCATCATGAAGGCGATCTGCCAGTTGACGGGGCAGATAACACGAGTGACCATGGCGTTGCCACCACCGCCATCGCCATGCGAGCAGTCTGGCTGTTGGCCCGGAAAGTTTGGTCGTAAAAGAGGAGGATGATGATGTTGAGAAGTAAAGAGGTCGTTTTCGTAAATACCTTTGGCTTGCGTAAAACTTTTGCGAAACAAATCGACGGTTCGAGTTCACATAGTATGAGTTACAATTTCTTTTAGGATTATTGGGTTATTTTGTAGATATTGGGCTCTGAAGTCAACCACCTAGCAGACCGTTGTGTACAAATGACCACAAAAAGTTGTGATGCACTGGTAAATCTAATCTATCCCGGGTTCGAATACGGGCGATGCCAAACCCCTTGTGACCATTCATGGTCACCCGCCAGTGTGCGTAAGCTGGTCCGGGAACCCGCATTCACCAAAAAAAAAACTATAGGCATTTGTATTTCCAAAAAGAAACTCAAACTGAAATAATACCTCCTATAGTTGTAGTTCTAAGCTATCCAGATACCCAAACGAGCGCGGTATATCCCACCCGAAAGTGGGGTCATGTAGACAGGAAGACACTTGTCAAAGTGAAGGATCAATCTACAAGAATTCAAGAATCCTTGATGGTAGAAAATAAGAAATCAGCTATGAAACAAGAAGGCAAGAGTTAAGAAACCAAGCAAAACCGATTGGTTTCTATCATAAATATTCTGATACCTATCGAACAAAAAAGATAAAGATTTAAAGGGTACCTGATAAGCGCGGAGATTTCATCAAGAACGAGCAGAACCCATCCGAAGGTAATAAGATCAAAGAATGCCAGCTCGGTTTCTTGTTGAGATTATAACTATGGCAACCACATAGGAATAGGCTTCGTCCAAAAGGGTTCTCAATGGTGTGAGTCTACCTTCGGTCTAGGGTTTAGGGTTTACCTTTGGTTTCCTGACCATCCATCAATCTTTTTTACCTTTGGAAGGTCTCAGGGATTTGATCTTTTTATTACTCTCTTCCTATTTGTATAAAAGCAGTTGGTAGTTTCTTCAATTTATTGGGACCATCAGTCATCTAGAGGTCATTCTCAACCAGGGTTGGGTTCCGGTGAGAAGGGAACTCCACCCTTGGATCAATCCTAATTGAAGATCAACACTAATACGGTCACAATTCATGGGGTGGGCGTGAGATTAAAAGTGATCAACGGTGCATATCCCTTCTTATACTTCTCACTTTAACTCCTATTCTCACACGATCCTTCGTCTTCTCAGCCATTGGCTTATTTTTTACTGTGGTCTCACCAGCATTTCACTAACCACCACTCCATCAATGGCTCATCTCTTCAACACGACCTAAAACTTTTCCAGAACTCTGGTGACTTCAGCAGACTCGGTATTCAGGCAACTCACCAGCTTGCTCAATACACTACCCAAAGAGTATCTCTCGGTGGATGTCTATTAATCAGATAGTTAGGACTTCCTTTGGTCCATCGTAGCTCACATTATAGTAAATTTACCATCGACTTACCATCCATCCATCAAATTCAGCTTAAAGGGGGGAGGGGGGGGGGTTAGGTACCGAGTTTTTCGTGTATCTAAGTGTGGTTGGCTCATCATGTGTGGTAAGGTTTCTAACTGGTAGAGCAGGATGTTAGTGCATTTCTGTTTTAGTACAACTGGTAAAATCTTTGAATCAATAATGGGTTTTGTTTTTTTGATCTTTTGATGAAGACATATCGCTCTGTCGAGTTCAACAACCTCTTATGGGTTCTAATTCAATCTTTGTCCTATCTATTCAATTTGGTTGTGTTGGGTTCAAATGGGTCAAGGAATTCTAAATTTCAATTATGCAACATTCTCAATGTGTTGGGTCCATTAATTTATCATCTTGAATAATTGTAATATCATGTACTGCATTTGGGAAGTCTATTAATTTATCATCATATCATTTAGTGCATTTGGGAAGGTTGTGTATTCCTACGAATTTGGCCATTTCAGCTCAGGAGAAATCTAAAGCCTAATCTAGCCTTGTTAGAAGCAATATCTGCACTGGTGTGGGAAACAAATAAATCATCCTCACAGCTTTCAATTTCCATCTATAGTTATAAAACAGTAAGCATATTTTATCAAGATACAAAAACTTGGATCAACATCATTCAAAAGGACAAGTGCATTTGCAGCAAGATGTCCCTACAGCTCAATTCCAACCATTGACAACTTGCCAAAAGAATCAAAGGCAGAATATATAACTAAAGGTCTTTTTATTTGCATATCTTGACAAATAATTCCACAGAAACAGCATCTCTACCCTTGTGGTAGAGAAAAGATTTGCATGTATCATAGCCCACAAACATACTCCGAGTGGAATATACAGAGTATGCTTTGTTTGGTTTATATACTTTGCCAGATAATTTATCAACTACATATTGAAAATTTTACAACCTTATCATAATTTCAGTTTAGCTATCTCCCAATAGAAAAATTAATGTCAAGATTGAGAAAGTTTAATGAGTCTATTGCCTGAAACAAGGTCATTGTTAATGAACTTAGAAGATAGACGAACCTCCACCTCAATTGCATGAAAATGATGTAATTGATAGGGTTTTAATGATTTAAGGATATGTTGCTATAAATATTGAGGTATGCAAGTGAATGTACATTTTATCTATTTTACCAAGAACCAATTCCAGATGACGATTTATCTACTTTTGATTATGTACATGGTGACATAAAAGACCAAAGCAACAACCAGACAGAAAGATACATCAGATGAAGGAACAATTTTTGTTGATGAACCAACACATGTAGTCTGGGACATGGAAAAAGTTCTAACAATACACCCAATTACCATTAAACATGATGTGAAAATCATAACGAATATTAAAACGCAAACAAGTTTTCAGGATACCAACCTTTCAAGTCCTGTCAAAAATCAAGAAAACTGAAACCCTTACAGCTTTATGAAAGAGAAGTTCACCAGGCAACAGAAATTAATCATTGCATTGCAGAGATCCGAAAATGTTACCCAAAATTCCGCCTTAGACATTGATAAAATCAAAGCTCGGACTACAAGAGGACAAGCCCAAGTTCTGATGGTCTCAGTGCTCGGTTTAACCGGTAATTGTACAGATAATAGTGGAGTTGCCCATCACCTGGTCCAAATTTCAGTTCCTTCAAGATAGTTTCGTTTTCCATAACATCTAAAGCATTGAATACATCATAACCCTTCTTCTTAGCCACAATAAGAGCATCATTCATCAACTGAAGCAGAGGAGTCCGAGTGGATACATTGTAGTAGGAATATGCAGCCTTCAAAGTCGAATAATTCTGATTGCCAAGGATGGTTGAAGGAAGTGTGTAGAAACTGCAGAAATCTGTGACATCATGAGTCTCGGGACTTTCCACCAAATAACTGTCCACTACATCCTCCTTAGGAAGCAACCAATGCTCTACATCATTTTCATCGAAGTCGGGCGCCACCATGAATTGCTTCAAGTAGTCCCTAAGCAAACGGGTAACAGCAGGAAGATCGTGGAGCTCCATCTTTCTAAACCCAGGTGTAACCGGTGAATCTGGCAACTTGTACAGCTTAATGGTCCGGCTCATTGTCATCCTCGCACCAAGCCTAGAAAACCCAACATCTATGAGCTTCTTTGGATTCAAAGATCTGTGCCAGTATTGACAAGTCGAGATAGGTGTAGGCAAAACCACCCCAGCAGTATAAGCTGCCTGCCATATATTCTCCAAGTGAACTCTCCTAGTAACTTCTTTAATCATGACAGGGGCAAGCCTTTTCGATCTAAGTTTCTTGTGAACACACAAAAAATTAATCTCTGCCATGTTAACAATGGTGTCCTTTGCCCTGATTCTGGCAGGCACCCCAGTTATAAAAGCTACCAACTTCTTCGAAGTCTTGACTCGCACCCCAATATGCCAACTTCTGTAATAACCTGGAGGACGAAGTGCCCAATGAAGAAACTCTTTCGAATAGTTAAACCTAAACATATTCTCATCATCCTCGACATAATTGTTGGCAAGAAGAGTGTAAACCTCAGAGCACATCTCCTTTGTATCCATGTCACAAGTAATCCATTCATAAGGACCAGGAAGATTATAAGGCTCTTGCTTAACTTCTGACAAGGGTGTTGGAGGCTCAATAGGGCCTTCAGGTAAGTTAGAGTTCCCAACATCCTTAAACTGCCCAACAGGTTGAGTTTCCCAAAATTTATGCCTCTTGGAAAGAGTCAAAGACTCTTGAACCTTTTGTGCAATTGCATCAATAGATGTCTCGCTCTCGTTGGTTTTAGGCTTTATAGTCCCATCAGAATCAGGGTTTTGGTTTTCAGCAGGTGAACTGGAATTCACATTGTTATCGGCCATCTCAATCCTCAACTAAAGCGCCAAATAACTGTAGGTTTAATCCAAAATCAGTCAAGAACAGTAAAAGTAAAACACCTTGTAAAGGCTATCAAATATCAATTTCGCAGATTCTTCGATATCTTAACAATAATCCTCCAATACAACAAATAAATACGTAAAACTAGCATAGAGAAACATTATCACACAAATTAACAACAATAATTGACTGATGAAGATCTATAAATCAAAAATTAGCAAGATAATCATTGAAATTTACGCAAACTAAACCTGCAATTAATAGATGGATATGGAGATTAGGTTTACCTCCGATCTGGATTCGCCGACGGTGAGGAAGGATCGTCGGAACAGCGAGTGAAGATCTAGGTTCTTGAGATCATATATGGTTTGATGATATAGGGAAATGGGGGAAAGAATTAAGTATCGAAGACGCTTTGTTGGATGGAAGGAAGAGTGGAAATAGCAAAAGCGTCTATATGGAGTGGAAATAGCTTTTCCAATTAGATTTTCAAAAGTAAATTACATTTTTAGTCCTTGTAGATTTTAGATATTATGGAATTAGTCCCTGTATGGTTCGTTCATTACATCGATGGTTACTGTGGTTTGTGATTTCGTATGAATCTGGTCCTTATTAACATTGTTAAAATTTTCTATTTGATGCGTTTCATCTGAGGGTATTTTAGTAATTTTATCAACAAAAAACCCTTCTCCTGTCACCTCTTTGTTTTCATACGATGAACCCCTCCTCCTTCCCCTTCCTTAATTTCGTTTGGCCTAAACACCATGCAGTAAACACATAAATTAGAGGCTTAAACTTGTTCTCCAGCCCCCAATTCCACGAACCTGAATTACACGGTTTATTTTACTCCTATATAAGGGTATTTTAGTAATTTTATCAACAAAAACCCCATTATCAAGAAAACTCAGATTATTTTACTCTTCCCTAGTTCCGTTTGACCTTAACCTCATGCTAGTAAACTCATATTAGAGGCTTAAACTTGTTCTCCACCCCAAGTTCCAAGATCTCGGGATAAGTTTGAATTACACGAGTTATCCTACTCCTACATAAGGGTATTTTAGTAATTTTATCAAGAAAAAGCCCATTATCATGTCTCCCCTTTCACGTCCCCCTTCGGCTCTTTCCATTTCTTTGATGAACCACTTCCTCTTCCCTAATTTCGTTTGACCTAAACCTCATGCCAATAAACTCATAAATTAAAGGCTTAAATTTGTTCTGCACCTCAAATCCCAAGATCTCGAGATAAGTTTGAGTTACACGGTTTAGCTCTTACGAATTTCGATTCCTAATAAGGACTTAATGTTTACCCCAAATATCTTCTTCATTCATAGTAATAATCATATGAAACTCCTCTAATTTCTATCTTTAAAGTATAAGGGACCAAAACAACAAAGAATAATAAACCTGAGGGACCAAAACAACAATAACTTGTAAGTCATAAGGATAAAAATAACAATGAATTACAAACCATAAGAATGAAAACTGTAATTTCTAAACTATAGGAATGAAAATCGTAATTTTAACAAACCACAGAGATGAAAAATGTAATTTACTCATATTTATATATAGCATATACTCATGGCCCTTCAGGTTTAAACAATTTGACCCCTTTGGTGACTAAACTCTAATAGTAACCCCAGTACTGTTGGGACTCTGACCCTTTGGTTTGTCAAATAATGTTTCACTACTCGGTATCTAGTCATGGTCAATTCCGTTGCATCAAATTAGACCCATTTCCATTTTCCAACCTCTGTTAACCCCCCCCCCCCCCCCCCTCGCCCCCAAAGAGAAAAAACAGCCATTAATGGAGCTCACTCCATTGTTTATGGAGCTCCTCGATCAGCATTAGCGTTGCCGTACTCTCTTCCAAAGCCTCTGCAAGCAATTCTGCCTTTTTACAAGCATCGGCTGCCTCCTGTTCAACGTTTTCAGCCACAGCAACCGCATAGACAGCATATAGCGCAGCATCTTCTAATGTTTCTGTAGGAATGGGGGGCGGAGCACGCTCTTGTGCAGTAGCAACGGGTGTTGGTGAATTCATTGGTGCATTTTCTATTGCAAGGGGCGTAGGAGAATCCTCTGGTGCGTTTTCTGTAGCAAGGGGCGTAGGAGAATCTTCTGGTGTGTTTTCTGTAGCAAGGGGCGTCGGAGAATCCTCTGGCGCCTTTTCTGTAGCAAGGGGAGTCAGAGAATCCTCTGGTGTGTTGTCTGTAGCAAGGGGTGTCAGAGAACCCTCTGGTGCCTGTTGTTCCCCATTGCGGTTGTCGGGATTATTCATTCTAACATCCTCCAGTTGGGATGGTTCAGCACCACAAAATGCATTCTTGAACTTGTAGCAGTTATCCACCTGCATATTCATTGTAGTTTAAAGTGATCCTTAGATGGAATAAGGGGAATAAGGGCTTGTTTGTTAGCAGTTTAATGATCTTGATGGGACTATACAGCTTATTCGGTCAGCTATTGATGACTGTTTGGTAGTAATTTAATGATATAGAAAGTGGCTTATTCAATAAGCTTCTAGGGGGAGCTTTATGCAGAAAGCTAAGTTTTTTTCCAAACATGTCCCTCCCAATTAAAAAACACGCTCTTTCCATCTGTGAAAAACCCTCCCAAACAAAAATCTTCCCAATCTATATTAGACAAATTAATCCACACAGACGTCTTTATAAATACAGGACTTGATGGAAAACCAACCAAACCACCCCTAACTCATGTTGCTGAGGTGGTGGAAAAAAGGGGGGGGGGGGGGTACATGGATCTTGTTCACAAATTTGTAAACATTGCAGCTATAGGTGTAATGATCCCAAATCGTAGCAGTTCGGTATGCAGGATAGAACATAACAGGGCAATACAAAAACTTGTTGCCTCGCATTTGACGCCCACTAGACTTGGATAGGACTAAACTACCCCTGTCAAATTAAAACCCTAAAACCTTCCCAAATTCTTTCACCCGCCTACCTCAATCTCATCTGTCCAATTCCCCGAGTTCCTTCATTTCAGTCATTTAGTTTTATTGTTTCTTTTTAGATCGAGGCCCTAAAAGTACTCGGTAATTAAGACTTATAATTAGTTCGATTGCCGGTAATGTTTCAACTCACTGACGGACAGCAAAGACAGGCTGCCTTGTCAGTTTCCTCCCCATCGTTAATTTTTATCTTTTAAATAATACTCCCTCTGTCCCAAAATAAGTGTCTACGTTACTATTTTAGTTTTGTCCCAAAATAAGTGGCCACTTTCAAAAGTAAATATCTTCTTTTCCATTCTACCCTTAATTATCAGATGGAGAAAATTTCTCTCTCCATAAGGGTAAAATTGTCCTTTTGTTAATTAAAAAGTGTAATAACTATATGTTCCTAAAACTATGTGCCTTCTCATTGTAGAAATTTATTTTAGGACGGAGGGAGTGTATAACTAGTGGGGTTCAAATAAGAAGGCTAAATATCATGAAAAGGTAAGAAGAGAAGCTTCATATGTGAATCATTGAAAAAATCTATTTGAAGATACATATGTAAACCCATTTGAATAATCCGTAACATCCGTTCACATATGCATATAATTTTTTTCAATGATTCACATATGAACATTCCTTCTTATGTTCTCATGCTTTTTAGCCTTCTTATTTGAAACGGCCCCTATATATAACTAAACAAAAAAAACTTATATAAAATGATAGAAGAGTTGCTGACCTTCTCGAGTTCTCCTGTCAACACAAGTCTTCTAAGCTTTGAAGTTACTGATCTTCTAAAATTTTGGGGTACCTCATACCTTAGCTACAACATGCATAAATATATATAAAAAAGTCAATTATTGAGAATCCCAGATTTCCTGAAACGGGTTTCTTTCTTCATCTTTAGGTCTATTATTATGTTTTAGATGAAAATTTATTTTGAAGGAGGAGGCATCCAGACTCAAGTCAACTCAGCAGAGATCAAACCAAAATCTAACACAGAACTAATCGAACAAGAAAAATGCATTTTAACATCACCATTCACTGGACATTAATTGGGCAAGATTTCTCGAATCTATGATATTTCTCTTACATTTAGATCTACATTACCATCATTTGCTTCATCTTTGACCAAGAACAAGAAAAGTGAGAACATTGACATGTAATAACACAAAAAAGATAGCAAGCCATTAACAAATAATAGATATGTAAATTATGTAACTGCTTTTACCCACAATTAGATCTTATGATGCAGCATCACAGTTTGATTCATATAATTATGATTATATATTTTTATCCAAAATGTGAGTATTCTAGAGTCAAAGCTATCAAACTCACACAGTCACATCTATTCATATAAGAAAATTTGAAGCACACGGTTTAATCAAACAAACGAGTGGAGGACAGCAAAAGACAAAGAGAATCAAAATGGCATATGAATTATGCAACCACGTCAAATTTAGCATATGAATCATGTATTACTAGAAGACCAATGCCACTGCAAAACCACCAATAAGTATGTGTAACTACTCAATCCATCATCTTCTGTATAAACCATATCAGGCATACAACAAAAGCTCGAAGCCTTTTTGACAGGAGCTATGAATCAAGAAAACGCCTCGACTATATAAAATTGTATATATAATGTAAGACCTTTTTTAGAAGAAAGATTATATATCTAATCCCCAGTGGTGGTGGAACCAACCAAGATGTAAACTAAAATGATATAATCAAACCTCAATAAAGTCCATAATTTTATTAGCATCAGGCCCATTCGGATCATCAATGTTGAAAAGAGCCTCAAAGATCATTGCCTCGTACCTGGTAAAAGAGAGCATCATAATAAGAATTTGCCTAGACGTTGATGGGAATACAGCAAAACAGACATTGAAGAATAAACCATCTTTCTAATGTTTTCATCTGCAATCTTTTGAAAAGCCTCACTAATACATAACTACCAGTTCTCATATAGTTGTAATTGCATTGGAATTAGAATAAAGATACAAAACCAGCATTTTAACTTGCTGACACGATTTGATGGGATATAACATTAACATACCATCTCTATTAACTAAAACAATTTTATGTCATAGACCTTAAACTCATAATAGTAGCATAACAGGGACTCATAACATGGCACAAGCATCTAAAATATATTTATAATCTCAACTGGCTAGTGCAACTAAACGAAGGATTGTGTGAGAATAGAAATTAAGGTGAGAAGTGTAAGAAGGGATTTGGACCCTTGATCACTTTTTAATTAGTGTTGATCTAATGGTTCAGTTTAAGCCCAAGATAACCCATGAATTAGATTAAAAGGTTATTGTCAATTGATCTATAATTAGGATTGGTCCAAGGGTGGAGATCCCATCTTACCCTTCGCACGATAACTGCTATTCTTACTGAAAACCAACTAAGTGCAACTAATGCAAACATATAAAGCAAGAAGCATGAAAAGATCATACTCTGGAACTGTTCTCCTATCCACTGAGCTTCTGGATGGCTCAGCCATATCACCATACTCAAGGAGAGGAACAGCAGATAAAGGTTCCGGAGAACTCAAGAGCGAGTTAATACCAACTCCTTCTAACCTAGGAGGTCTAACTTTCTCTCTGCTGCTTGGCATGCCACCACTTGATCCCAGGTTACGCCATTTGTCCTGTGCATGAGAATGATAATAAGATCAATTTGTATCAGTTGGAAAATTATGCTCCGGTACTTCCATCCATAAGTCCAAAACCCTATACTTTTCTTCTTCTTCTCTCTCTCTCTCTCTCTCTTCTATGGAGGGTGAGGGTGGGAGTGGGGGGAGGGACAGAATCACTTGTGAGAGTGCTATTCAAAGTGAAAAATACAAGCAAAGTTGTTAAAGGCTCAAGACGCACTTAGGCGCTAAGGGGTCCGGGGGCCTAGGTGCGAGCCTCAGGATTGCGAGGCATATCTTATCAATATATATATATACACACACAAACATACATAGTTACACACAACTCAAATATGTAGCAAGTGCAAGCCTCCAGTGAGAAGTGCCTAGGCCCACAAGGCACCTCAGCCGAGATGCAGTCCGTTAGTGAGCCTCGTGAATATGCCTAGCCTCGAATTTAAAGAAGCCCAAGACCTTAACCTTATGAGTCTCAGAGCCTAGGCGTGCCTCAAGCGCGCTTTTAACAACTATGAATACAAGATATGCATTATCAAAAAATATAAACTTGAAATTTTGTAGAAGGTGTATCTTGCAAGGTAAATATCAAATCTAAAATCTCTTGTAAATGAAGCACGTGAAGGTAATAATTCAATAATTAATTGTGACCTTTGTACATGTATGCAGATCTAGAATTACTTTCTATGTTATCATGAAATCAATATATGTTTCAAAGAGGAATAATAACAATCCGAAACTGTAGGTTGCACAATTGTTATTTGCATATATAAGAGTCAAATACATTTGATAGATAAAACAAAGACAAGCAGAATCAGTTTTATGATAAAAGAAGTTCAAGGCCTTGCAAGTAAACAACTGGTAAAGGAAAAATGAAAAAGGAATTACAAAAACATGGTGAAAAGAAAAAAACCTTGAGATCGATGTTCGAGCGATTAGCCAGAGAAGAAGCAAATTCGGGATCGGAGAGAATGACTTTCCACTTGCCATGGCCATGCTTTTCGACACCGGCACACAACGCATACTCTTCCTCAGTCGTCCACTTCTGCTTTTGTTTTGCCATTTACTCAATAGGGTTTTTTCTTTTGGCCGCCGGTCGTCTCCGTTTATAGAATCTATAGAGATTGAAAGGGAGAGGGTACCTTATTTGCCAAACCTAGAGTTATGAGTCATTTCAGCCGTCAGATCAAAAAACCAAGAGCATGAAATGTATCGGATCAAAACTACCACATCTCGCTATGGATATCCATTATATCCTAAAATTTGGACTCAATCCAACCGTTAGATCAATTCTCCAATAACACAAAATTGATTGAATGAGAACCTATCACTTCCAAGGTAACTATGGATCATCATTGTTCTCAACCTCAATAACTAAATTTTCCCTATTTTTCACCCAGCAAACATGTTGCATAGCTCTTATTTTGATGACTTAAGTAGATTTGGTCTATTCCTTCAAAATATAAGATGTGCTAAATTTAAAGATGCATTTTCACCTTAATGAATCATAAGTATAGCTTACCTCAACTTACTCAAATGATTTATTGATTAGTGTTGCCAAAAGCACAAAATGTACTTTTTAATTCAAATAGATCCTACATGCCTTATGTGCAAAATAATTTTAATTGATAAATCTACTTCATCACATTGTATTACTACTCTTAATGTGCAATGATTTTCAAATCTGACAAACTGTTCTAATTGTTCTAAATTAACTATTTCTTTATTTCGACAATAACAAGAACATTTCTTAAGCTTTCACCCTGTTAATCGTTATCCCTCTTAATCTACTGGACACTAAATATTTGTACATGGTAGATGTGTATATGTTTCGGGCTCTCATTCTAAGTTTTATTATCATCAGTTCCGATTACACTAGGTAATTCATTTTCTAGTTTTAGCTATTATCATATAAGCTTACAGCGAAACTTAATCACCATAACTACTTGCTTAGTGGATGGATATGGTAGTGACATTCTGGTTGTTGACCACTTCAATAATAAAGGGATGTCATGAGATTATTCTCTAGCTCATTGTTAAAAATTCATTCTCAAGTTCTATAGGAGGATGTAGAAACAACCAACAAAGCATTAAGTAGGAGCTTGAGTGATTTATGTGCAACTCCTCGATAATAAATAGTCCCAAAGGCACACCTCTATTGAACGTTTAGAGGCTCCACCACCGTTTTCACAGACAATGTACCTAGGTTAAAACAAAAGTTGTGTGCGCCATGAAGCTCTGCTAGAAATTGATATCACGAGAAGAAAATGCCTCTTCCTCGAGTACCCTTCAAATATCAAAGTATGCAAATGTGAATCCGATGACTCGTGTGTGGGGAGTACATGAACCAGCTCACCATACTTGCTGAAGAGGCGATATCATGCCTAGTGATTGTCAAATAGTTCAATATCCAACTAATCTATGATATATGTGAGGATCGTCAAAAATGTTCATTGTCTTCTAGACGAAGCGTAACATTAAGAACCATGGCAACCTCACAGACAAACATACCATCCTCTACAAAAATGCCAAGGACGTACTTTATTTTGGCACATAAAATGCCTTTTGAGACCTAACTATCTCAATAGCATGGGAGAATTTGAGTTCTCCAGGATCCTTTGTTTGACACTCCTTGGTTCTAAAGTTGCAATTTCAACTAGGCATCTCCAGAAATAACAAGTTCATGACATGGAAGACCATAACAACCCTTTTTTTCTCCCAGAAAAGTTGAATAGTCATATGAACTTTATGTCATATCCAACCTTCTAGAGCCTAACTAGACTCGTGGAGCCTACTTTAAGCCATATAATGATCTTTGTAACCAGCAAACTCGAGATGCCTCATGAACCACAAAACTAGGAGACAGTTCCATTAAAGTCTCCCCCTCAAGATCTACATTCACGAAGGAGATTTAACTTCTGAGATTTTGATGAGTAGCTGCTTAGCAATAACTAATTGAAAAGAAGTAATTTTAGCCACATGACTAGAGATCTTATTATAATCTTAACGATACATTTGTGAGTACCATTTAGCAATTAATTTGACCTTTATCATGCAAGATTGCTGTCAGGATTCGTATTAACTTTAGATGTTATCCCCACTTGCAACCAAAAACATTCTTTCAGTAAGATCAGCTCCCATGTGGCATCGTCTGAAAACATACATTTCGTTATCCATACCTTGCTTCCTCTCAGATGTGCGATGACTTCAAATACAGCCTAAAGTATGTGACAACTACCCATAGCTCAACAAAAGTGAAATGACAAGAAAAAATGAGCATGAGAGGTGTCACTAGAGATGACATAACCTAATCAAATTAACTGCATTACAAGTACTTGTTTGTTTTCTCCATCGTAAATTATTTCTCAATATTCAAGATTGCTGGTTATATCATGATTAATGATACTTATTTGCACACAAAGTTATAGACAACATTCTCGCATTAAATAACTGTAGAAGAGCAAGAAAAAACATGGACAACAAAATCATAAATTAAACGAAAACAAGAGGTTTAATTTTGCATCACATAAAAAGATATGTTTACACGAGAAGGAAAAAAAGTATGCCACATGACCATCGACAAAGAACCATCAACTTGACTCAGACTCGATTTTCAGTCATAAGAGCAAACATGGTCTGGGTGCCCCTAATGCCCCAAGACTTTTCTAGTAAACATCATTAACGCAAACATAACTGCTTGAACCGAGCCCACTTACAACACTTTTATGGAGACAGCATAACCATCCACCTCTGAACCTGTGATGTCAAATAGATATGATAATGTTTCAAACAAGAAATTTTGAGATTGAAGATAAAGGTAAATGCCTTTCTCTCTTCAGAGAGATTGTAGTGGGTAATTATTAATAAAAAGCGCATACGCGCTGGGGAGAAAAACTACTGACTTACAATTCGTTTATAATGGGGTAAGGTAATCCACATTGTTCATGGGGATCTTCAGCCAACTTTAGCATTGCCATGCTCTTTTCTATGTTCTCTGCAAGCCTACCTGCCTCTTCACAAGCTTCAGCTGCATCATCTGCCAAGTTTTTCAGCCACAGCAACCGCATAGACAGCACATAATGTGGCATCGTCCGATGTTTCTGTAGCAACAAGTGACCCAGAACCTCTTCAGCCTTTTTTTTCATATTGCAGTAACAAGATTATTTGCCCTAGCATCCTCCTGTCTGCATGTTTCAGTACCACGGATGCATTCTTGATCTTGTAGCAGTTATCCAACTGCATAGTGCTTGTACTTTAAAGTGATCATAACATGGAATAAGATGCACAACTCAAGTTGCTGGTGGTGGCTGTGAGAGGAGGGATATAGGGATCTCTTATCACAACTTTGTAACCATAGATCCATGTTATGCGCAGACATGATAGACCTATAGATGGGACCAAAGTAGTGTTCCATAAGGTAGAGGCAGTTGAATATTCTTGGTAGATGTCGACAAAAAATACTACTTGTTTCATGTTTTATCAAATGCATATATATCATGATGCTTAGATGATTTGGTAGAAAGCATACTGGTAGACCAGCATTTTTTTATCGCAGGCGATTGTAACGGTAATATTGGTAAAGGCCCTGACGGTTGCCAAGGAGTACATGGGGATTTTGGCTATGGTGCAAGAAATGTAAGAATTGTTCGTTACTAAAGTTTGCGATTGTATGTGAACTGCTAATTTCAAACTCTTGCTTTAGAGAAGCCTCTGCTCACATTTCAGAGCGAAGGGCCTAGCACTCAAATTGACTACATCCTGAAGTGTGGACAGCCGCGGGATGTTCAGGGATCAGGGTTCTAAAAGTCATGGCGTAAGACGCATATCCATCGTCAAAATAAAGCCCATAGCGTTTGTGTATGGCGAGGCTCCCGCTATGGCGACTTGACACGTGCCATGGCATGCGTTTTTTACAAGATGTCACTATATTCTTTTTTTAATTTTTTTTAAATAATTTAAACCTTATGTGCTTTACACTTTTAACTTTAGGTTTTATACTTCTACATATTTACCTAATTATCTCACTCATAAAATTCATAAATTCACACACAAAAACGTCACATACTCACGGTTAAAACGAAGCAGTAAAACCCTTCCGAATTCTATTTGGAATCTTTGATCACAAACTCTTCACATGATATCAATATATATGATTTTCTTCTTTTAACATGAATATACATTGTTTAATATCATTATCTCATTGAACAGTAATAGGAAAGATATATGTATATATAAAAATATATGACATACAAATTTGCCATCTTAGGTCACACCTTGAAAAACGCAGCAGCATGACACGCAAGGCTTGAAGCTTGACATCGCCACCCTGCCACGCATCACGCTATTTAGAACCTTGGCATGGATTGCAAAGTGTTTCCAGGCAAGGTATGTGTGTTGCAACACAAGTTGTTGGCAATAGATTTAGCTTTGAATACGCAAGCAGAAACGGTAAATGAAAGAGGCTATGCCAAGAATCATATAGAAAAACTTGAAGGGGCGACAACAGAGATGTTCAAGGATAAGGCCCTTTTAGTAGCAGAGCAAACCCGATAATGGATGCTAGTCAAATGTGGAGTATTGTGGCTCAAACCATCAAAGGTGTGGCCAAAGAGATGCTAACAAGGAGGGCTACGGATTCAGAAGTAGTCTTGGTGGTGAAGTGAAGAGGTTCAAGTTAAGATTAAGGTAAAACAAACTCGCTTTATGGAGTTGATGTCAGTGTAGCGAAGAGGAAGAGATAAGTAGAGTGAGGGAAAGGTATAAATAAGCAAACTCGCTATGGCGAAAGACAAGATGAGCTATGTTGTTACTGCGGTTAAAATACAAACGGTCAGGACCGATATTCGATGTTTCGGTTATATCGGTGATATATCGATCCAAAATAACGGTTAATATAGTATTTCTTAGAATATATATATATATATATATATATATATAATATGTATGCATCCATAAACATGTCATATGCATTAATTAGAGTTTAGAAATATAGTTTCAAAATTAAAACATCACATAAACAAGTCTCACAAAACAAAATAGGAGAAGTGTTCAAAAACAAGCTAATCGCAAGCAATAGGTTCGGCATCCGAGTCAACATCATCTAATACGTTCATTTCTTGAAAGAACCGAGAAGAAGAGTGAACTGTGAAGAACCGAGAAGAGAAGAAGCATGAGACCTAATATATGTGTTGACTGGTTGACCAAATAAAGAGGCCAAAAAACTAAGCCCAAACATTTACCTTATAGAAAATCGGTATATCGGACCGATTTTTCCATCAAAATATCGATGAAATATCGGCGATATTATCGGAACCGATATTTCATCATCAATATCTTTCTAGGGACTGATATCCGATATATAATCGCGATTTTAATAGCATAGAAGATGAGATGTCCAGCTGAATATTGAGGAGGGGGGGAAGGGAATATATTATTTGACAAGGGCCAGGAAACAAGGGCATAAAGACATAGAAAACATAGGGTATGTTATGGATGTAGACGGACAGATTCTAATGTCGAATGAGGATAAAGGGAGATAGGGTAGTTAACATCACATGTTATTCAATGTGGATTCAGAAAGGGAGATGATGTTACATCCCAACAATGTGGTCAAATAAGTCAATAAGGGTAGGTTGCGGTGAACAAGTCAAATAGGTGGGTTGTGGGAAAATTGTACAAGTGGTTATAGCAGTGGTACAAGTAGGTTAAGCATTTTATTGAAGTCGATTAATAGTTTTTACCTAGTATAAATAAGAAGTTGATCAGTGAAAGGAGGAGACGAATTATTCTATTGTGTTTGAGATTGGTGAAAGCCTTTGGGAGGCCTCCAGCTTCTCGAATTGTTGGAAACCTGTGTTCAATCATTTGATTCCGATTCTAAAATTCCCATTCAGGTGCGGCAATGTCTAGGGGAGGCAGAAGTGCAATGGCAAAGATGTCGAATGAGTGGAGAGTGGAGACCTAGCACGGTGGTATCGCTCTATAAGAACAAAGGTGATGCTCAAAATTATGGTAGTTATCATGGCATAAAACTTCTTACCCACACGATCAAATCATAGGAATAGGTGGTTGAGGGCAGAGTGCATCACAAAACGACAACATCAAAGATCAGCTTCATGCCAGAGAGGTCAAAGATCGAGGCAATGCATCTCCTTAGGCGCCTATTGGAAAGTACAGAGAACATAAGGCCTACAAAAGTTGCTCGTATAACTAGAGAAGGGTTATGAAAGATCCCATGGAGGTACGTTAAAGTGATCCAAGATATGTACGTATGTACAGGTACACTGGTCGTTGAACATGATACTTCCCAATGTAGATAGGGTAATGTGATTTCCCAAGAAATTCAAGAAGTGTACCTTGGAGTATGTTGTTTGTTGATGGCATTGCCCTGGTAGTGAAGACGAGAAGAAAAGTAAATGTTAGGTTAGAACAGTGGAGGGAGGTATTGGAACCAAAAGGGTTACACATTAGTCGTTCATACTTCATAGACGAAATATCTTTGGGGCAATTTCAATAAAGAGAGCAACAAAAAAGGGAAAAATAGTCAGCATTGGGCATCAAAGAGCGCCCAAAAAAACAATTTGAAGTATTTGGGATTTATAATTCACAAGGGGGAAAGATTGTATAGGACATTGAAAATTGAAAAATGACAGGTCTGCTAAAAATGAAGGGCATCAAACCACCTATGTTACATGGGTCGCTATGTTGGGCGATGAAAAAAGCACAAGAGAAAAGTGGATGTAGCATAAATAAGGATGTTGAGATGGTATGTGGCTGTACTCTGTTTGATAGAATATTGGATGAGGTTTTTCAAGCTGAGCTAAGAGTCGCACCAATATCATACAAATTGAGAAGGAAGGCTAAGGTAGTTTAGGCATATTTGTGGGGAAGGCCACATACATAACCGGATGGGAGGGCGGATGGCATCACGGTTAAGGGCATAAACAGGTGAGGCAGGCCGAGAAGGACATAGGGTGAGCAGTTAAGACTAGACACGAGGCTTAGTACTCTCGAAGGCCGACCTCATATAGGAGTTCTTGGAGGCATAATATAAGGGTAGTTGATTGCTTACACAACTACAGACAAGATGGGGGTCGGGAGGGTGGAGGGTGGGTTGGGGGAGGGTTTAAAGTCTTTAGAGAGATTTGCAATATCTTTTAATATAAATAGTGGGTATGTTTGGTGTGTTTTGTGTTGTGCTTTTTTGGTCTTCGTGGAAACAATCTCTCTGTCTCTTGAGACGGAGGTAAGGTCTGCTCATATCCTACCCCCTTCCTTTGCATGGGATATTTAGGGTATGTTTGGTTTGATTTGGTTTCGTACATTTCAGACTATACTTTCCCCATGTTGGTTTCATGACATAACCAAAGCAAATTTGGATACACACACAAAGGTTTTGCAATTGATGTTTGAGTTTACTACATTTATGTGCTCCTATGTATAACCTACCAAGCCATGGAGAATAACCTTCAATAACATCTCATGATTTATGGCATCAGTCCATTCAATAGCTAAACCTCATAAGTGTTCTTTTCCCCCCTATGACATGGTTTTGGACATGAATGCAAGGGAGAAGTAGGACAAGTCCTTCCCATTTCAATGATCCATTAATATGGCAGATTGAGTTGCAAGGTAGATGAATATATAATTAATATGACACCATTTTAAGCCAACCTTATTCTATTTGAATTATTTCTTATTAGATATCACGATAGCATGCAGGGAGTAAACCGTTTCCTAATTCGCATGAAAATCAGCAGAATCAAATCAAGTTTGCTTGCAATAGGTGTGTGTAGGGTTTGCAACTAGCGAGAAGACGGTGAAAAGGATAACCGCTTAGTACAAAAACGGAAGGTAAATATATACACCTTGAGACTAGATCGAATAGCGAGGCAACGACCGAAATGGTGATCCGTAAGTATGTTCTTCAAGCCTTCCACTCACCGTCTTGATTGCACCGACGCCGAGACTTCTCAACTCCTCCGAAGTCCATTGGCGCCTTCAGTTTCTTATTCATCGACGGGGGTTTTCCCGCGCGTTTACAGGACGAAAAAAACTTGTCCGGCACTCCGCGAAATTAGAAGGGGACGAACGCACTCAAAACTTGTATATCGAACCCACCACCGTCAACCTTCTATTTCCCAAACCACCGGTCATCTCTCTCTCTCTCTCTCTCCCCGATTTGCATTTTTCAGCAACCCTTCACTAGTCGATTTGGATTTTTCAACGGCGGAGGCGTATTTCATCAGAGATGATCACCGCGACCGGTATATTTGAAGAGGGGCGAGGCAGGACAACCACAGCATGGTGGTGGTGGTGGTGGTGGTGGTGGTGGTGGTGGAGAGGGATAATCGGACGAATCTCCATTTTTGGAGTAGAGTTTCTTTTGGAACAAAAATGAGTGTGGGAAAAGCGTGCCAAAAACTAATCGACCCGTCGGATTTTAAAAGTTCTTCAATAATTTTTGAGTAAATTGTGGATTTGGTCCCTAAATTATGTCAATTATTACGGATTTGGTCTTTTATCTTCATATATTACACAAGAAATTTTGGATTCGGGTTAAGTTTGGTTTTTTACGATCCGACCCGTCTGAAAACCCAAAATATATATACATATATATTTTAAATAATATATAAATTTATCTAATTGTCTTTTGAAAATTATAAAAGTTATAGTCAGACTTGCTTTTTTATAGTTTCCAAGCATATTATCAATTTATCATTTAATTCATCTTCAAAATCGATTGAGCATATATATTTTGTATTACTAGAAGGGTACTCACGCAATGCAACGAGATACATCTTAATTTTAATTCTATCTTTTGTCTTTGTTTATATAATACGGTTTACTTGGTTTTGAGAAAGATAATATTTTTTACGTTTGAATAAAAATAAATTTGAAGACAACATAAAAATTTGAAAAAATATATTAATATTAATATCAAATTAACTATTTAGAAGTTCTTGTTTTTTTTTACGATTTCTTTAATTCACTTTTATTATGATTTAGTTTAGGTCAAATAGTGAAATGATTTATTTTTTACCCAACAATACAATTTTTTATAAGAATGATTATGTTATAACTCAATGATTATTCTAATTATATTTTAGATTTTTATATTTAAAATTATATATTTATCCTATGTTTGAGTATGTTTATTTGCAGTCAGTTACTCGAATTCAAAAATGAAGTTTTAATAAGTCGTGCATACACACATTTTACTTGTAATATTAAATTTTAAGTAATATGCATTAATAAACAGTATTTCATGTATTAAAAATGATTTTTAATAGTTTTTTGTCAAATGTTTTATAATATAGAATAGGTAACTAAACTCAAACCCGACCGACCTCAACCCGATCCCAAAAACAATCCGAAATCCAAAACCTAAAAGCCGGGGCTTGATTTTCGTACCCGAAAGCCAATCGGGTTTTGGTTTACCCACCCGAACCCCCGTCCGACCCGCCCAATTCACACCCCTACTTTATGCATAAAGTTCCTTAAAAGCTTACTGATTTTTTATATCATTAAGACACTATCAAATAACCAGACATCTCTTTCGCTCTATAGGGATCGACGAACCTAAGGTGAATTAGATGTTCGAAAGGAGATTGTTAAATCATATGTAAGGGGCCACTTACCTAAATACTTATCTGGTAAGCGTTTTACGGTAAAACTCAACTCTATCACTTACTTATCGGGTAATATTTTAGTCTACAAAAACGACATCGTTTGTAACAATTTACCGGAAAGCGCTAATCTTGGTAAGAGTCGTCGCAATCACTTACCGGGTAAGACTTTCGGTCTGTGCTTTCACTCTTACCACGTAAGATTTTTTGTACTTATCATATTATCCGATAAGAAAATATGTCTTGATAAACACTTACTCGAATAAACATATGGTAAATGTGGCCTCCGTCAATCAAATTTTATAGAAAGAAAAACTAAGGGGGTGTTTGGGATTGCTTATTTTAAATGTTTTTTTGACTTATTTCAGTCTGACACCGGTGATAAGCTAAATGCTAGTGTCTGGATAAGGAAAGATAAAACTACTTATACCGGTGCCAAACCGGTAATAAGCAGTTTTTGATAAGTTAATCCTTCATGACTTATGAAAAACTGTTTATTACCATTTTATTATTTTAACCCTGTTTTATTAATGTTTGTTAATTATTAATCTTACTGATATAAATTATTAATATCATTGATATAAATTTTTGTCAAAGATATTATTATAAATGATGAAAAATAAAATTTTACATGTTAAAAAATAAAATAAGTTAATAAGCAATCTCAAACACTCCAACAAGTCAATAATATGGAAGATTTTTTTGTTCATTTTACATATATAAGCAAAATTTGACAAATACTAAAAAAAACTTATCAACTTATTACTTTTTAGTACCGCTATAAGTTTTTAGTACCGCTATAAGATAATTCAAACACTTTTTACAAAACTCCAGTTTAATACCACATAAGTTAATAAATACTTAAAAAAAACATTAGTTATTTTAAATAACCAATCCCAAACACCCCTAGATTGCTTATTTAAAACAACTTATGTTTTTTTGTAAAAATGCTTATTAACTTATGTAGTATCAAATCGGAGTTAAATAAACCAGAGTTAAAATTGTAAACTGGTAATAAAAAGTTTTTTATAAATCAGGAAGGATTAACTTATCAAAAACAGCTTATTACCGGTTTGGCACCGGTATAAACAAATTTTTTTCCGTATCCAAATACCAAAAAACAACTTATCACCGATATCAAACTGAAATAAGTTAAAAACAACTTTCATAATCAATCTCAAACAACCCTAAAAATTAAATTAATATATCAAAGAGAGAAAATTTGAAAACTTGCCACAGTGTCTAAAAGAAACCTTGAAGCTGAGTTTGGTTCTTTTACGCGGGAAAATCGGGACGCGGCACCAGATTTGTAAGGCAGTAAAGATATCCATGGAAGGAGAAAGAAAACCACCGCAGATTAGGTATAAATTCAGGATTGGCCGCCGGTGGGAGATCGGGCTGTCCTCAGGTCAGTGAAGGGAATCGCCGGCGGAGGACAAACCACCATGGACGGCATTGGCGGAGCCATAACCACAGCTATAGCAATTGATAAAGATAAAAACAGCCAATATGCAGTTAAATGGGCTCTTGAGAACGTCGTCCAGAAGATGTCCTGTGTTGCCCTTCTTCATGTCGTCACTCAAACCACTTTACCTCGTAAGTGCCTCGAATCACTTTTATCACCATGAATTTTGTCCATCTATTGCGTCAATTAGGGTTTTCTAATTAGTCAATCGCTAATCTGGTAAATCACACAGAGCTTCCAATTTTGCTAGGATTAATGTTGAATGTTTTTATTGCTATTGTCCAAAAGGTGAGATCATTATCGTATAGATCTATGAATGTCCGTTAGAAGTGTGAGGTTAACATCAGATATATTTTTGAATTGGGTGTTTCAGATGATGCTGGGATGGGCAAGGATGGTCGCCCCCCTACCCAAGATGAAATGCAACAGTTTTTCCATCCTTTTCGTGCATTTTGTGCTCGCAAAGGGGTAATTTCCATCAAACTATTGTTAATTCACTATTTATTCTATAGATATCTGTCCAAGACGATATGGTTTTTGTTTCTGTATTCTTTGTCATTTCAAGCGTTTAGGGCGAGATTATGCGATCTGTTCGTCCTTAAAAGAGTCTATTTAACGCTCAAAATTCTGAAGTGAAACTTTTTTGGAGGTAGGATGAACTCAGAGAGATTTATCTTCAGCATTTGCTAGGTCACAAGTACAACTTGCCTTGTATGAGCTAAATGTATAAATGGTCAAGCTTGTAGATTCTATGATTTCAGGTTAGAACAAAGGAGGTTGTTCTCCAGGATTCAGATGTTCCGAGTGCAATTGTTTTATACATCATTAGGAACGCCATAAGCCATCTCGTGGTTGGTTCCCCATCCCGGACAGGTCTAACCAGGTCTCTTTTTCTCTATCTATCTCTTGAGCATGCACATGTAGAGTGTGAAAATATGTGAAACCTCAGTATTTATTCTCCAAGTCGAGACAGTGCTAGACATGTGAGGGGGCTAGATGAGTACTGATTGCCCCAAAATCGAGTCCCTAAAGTGGTAGACCTTGGCTCTAATAACATGTGATAATATGTGGAACCCCATTAGACTACTCTCCAGAAAAGCCTGCCGAGTAGAGGAGGAGTTTCAACATACATCAAGGAGAAATGTTGAAGTCTACCTGATGCGTGATGTGGGACTCTAAGATAGATAATTGTATCTGTTTTTTTCCTGATATATACTAATGGAATGCATTATGGATCCACAGGGCATTCAGAAGCAGTTCAGATGTGGCTAGCAACTTACAAAGATCCTTACCGGACACTTGTAATCTTTATGTGGTTTCTAAAAAAAAAAATCAAAAAATGAAATCTGCGACTCAGACTCCTACCTCCAACACCTTCTTTGTATCAACAAAAGCAACACAGAGCTCGTTGGGAGAAACGGATTTGTAAGTCAGAATATATGCACTCCCACTAGACTCTCCTGATATCTATCAAGAACTCGTATGTTATTGATTTTCTTGCTTGTTCAGCCGGAGCAAATCCGATTCTAGAGCCAGGTTCAGGAGATCATCATTTGCAAGAACCACTGGGAGACGGTTGGATTATAGTGATTTTATGCTCACGGTTCCCAGAGACGAGTTCTCAGAAAGTACGACTCCACCAGGAGAGTTTGAAACTAGTCCCAATAATCAGCTGCATGGTCAGATCACACAAAGACCAAGTCTTGACGGAAGATCTGACCTCAGGGGTTTTGGGCCACTTGGCTCCAAAGCCAACATGTCTTACGAGATTTTAGACAAATCACGGATATTAGATGCTTCTGGGCTGTCCATCTCTTCTCAAAATGCGGTAAGTTCAATCACTAGACAATTTTGTGAGTGGATTGGCACATAATATTAGATTTGTTGGTGTCCACATTGGCTAGACTTGGACGATTTCTCCTCTATATATGTTGGAACCTCCTTTCTCTCCTCCAGGACTCTTTTGGGGAGTAATCTAATTTGTTCTATATATTCTCACATGGTACCAGAGTCCAGAGCCAAGGTCTACCACCCTGGGGCAATTTGTACTCAACACTCTAGGACAATCTGCCCCCGTCTAGCTTCCAATTTGGAGTGGACGTGTTGGAGTCCTACATCAGCTAGACTTAGACCATTTCTCCTCTATATATGTTGGAACCTCCCTTCTCTCCTTAAGGGCTCTTTTAAAGTGTAATCTAATAGGTTCCATGTATTCTCACAAAATTTATAATCTTGCACTGCAAGGTGAATTTCAATTTCTCAGTAAGTTGATTAAATGCAGGAACTAGATGATGAAATCTGGAGATTAGAGCTTGAACTGAAGAGAACCATGGACACGTATCACTCAGCGTGCAAAGAAGCAGCAAATGCTACACAAAAGGCAGGTTTTATAACTAAAGCTTGCTTAATATCTTAAATGTCTCCATGAGAGGAACACAAACAGGTCCTATTGTTTCTTACTTTGTTAAAAACAAAAATTGAAGCAAAACCTGTTGATGGGTTCCTTTAGGCAACTGAGATCAATCAACAGATGTCAGCAGAAGGATACCTCAAATCCGAGGAAGCCAAGGCAGCGGAAGCTGCATTAAGAGCTATAGTGGAGATGGAGAAACAGAAGAGCAAAGCTGCCATAGAGGCAGCAGAAATGGCCAAACGTCTTGCAGAACTGGAGACCCAAAAGAGAAGAAAGGCCGAACTCAAAGCCGAACACGAGGAAGCGGAAAGGAAGAACCTTATGGTTAGGTTGACCCAATGTACCATTCAGTATAGAAAATATAGTATCGAAGACATTGAAATTGCCACAGATTACTTCTCTAATTCCTTAAAAATTGGCGAGGGAGGATATGGACCTGTTTTTAGAGCCTATCTGGATCATATTGCCGTTGCCATTAAGGTCTTAAGACCAGATATCTCACAAGGCCAAATTCAGTTCCAAAAAGAGGTCGAGGTTCTAAGCTGTATGAGACACCCTCATATGGTTCTCCTATTTGGTGCCTGTCCAGAATACGGCTGTCTTATATACGAATATATGGAAAATGGGAGCTTAGAAGATCGCCTCTTTAGAAAAAGCAACACCCCACCAATTCCATGGAGGGTCCGTTTTAAAATATGCGTTGAAATTGCAACCGCCCTTCATTTCCTTCATCAAACCAGACCCCAACCACTGGTGCACCGTGATCTTAAACCTGGCAACATTCTCCTGGACCGAAACTATGTGAGCAAGATCAGTGATGTTGGGTTAGCCAGGTTGGTCCCTCCAGAAGTGGCTGATGATGCCACCCAATATCACATGACGGCGGCTGCAGGGACATTCTGTTATATCGACCCTGAATATCAACAGACAGGGCTACTGGGTACCAAATCCGATATATATTCGTTTGGAGTGATTTTACTACAGATCATTACTGCAAAGAGTCCAATGGGGTTAACCCACCTGGTCTCGAGGGCCATCAAGGAAGGGAACCTTTTAAATGTTCTTGATCAAGCCGTGACCGATTGGCCGCTTGACGATACACAGTCTTTGGCGAAAATGGCTCTGCAATGCTGTGAGTTGAGAAAGAAGGACAGACCTGACCTTGGTTCAGTCATATTGCCTGAACTGAAACGGCTTAAGGACCTTGGTGGTGCTTCGTAAAGAACACAAGAAGATCAACTACGAATCTGGTTAGTTTTTACCTCTTAACCATGATGCCATTTATCAGCCAGCTTTTATGTTTGTTGCTTACATCAAGTATATGAAGATGAAGATGAGTGCTTGCAGGTTTCTTGGGATGGCATCAGCAGTATCGGCTGAAAATTATAGGAGATTATGGTGATAAGATATGAAGATGAGTGCAACTCTATAACTTGAACAATATACATGTACAGATATCATATGAAGCTCATCAATTCACTTGAGCAACATCCCAAGAAATGGTGTATTGTATTTTTATGTAAATTATTTCGTATCAACATGGTATATATATAGGGGCAGATTCGAATGAGAACTGTAAATATTTTGGGAACCTAAGAACCAACTATTAGTGTATTAATGATGATGATCACGAAATTTATTCATGAAGAAAATACATGTTGAACAATATTTATGAATATTTAAGGTTATTCATCATGAATAATGCATGAACTATTCAGTTCCTGGGTTATTATCTTATATTAGGGATATGCCTAATACTTGAAGAACTTTTGTTTTAACATCTGCTGTGAAGAAAAGTTTTGAGATGCTGTTGGCAGTGAATCAGAGGGCCTATTCTTCTTTATGGTCCAGCTGGTGCAGGCAAAACTGCTTTCATTAGCAGGTTAGCCCGGGTCATGGGAGTCAAGGTATGTTGTTTCTGCATTTAATGCCAAATATGACAAAATAATGACCATCTAATTTAAATTCTCTCTTAAATTATAGGGAAAATTGCATGAAAAAGTACTAAATTCCTACTTTAGATAACGTACTTTCAAAATCTTTATTTTGGTACCCAAAATGCAAAATATGTACCCGGGCTACCTAATGGTCTGCAAATAATTACTAGGATCAGGTTTTTATTGGTGTGGTATTATTTACTTATTTATTAAATGCCAACTAAGAAAAAACAATCCGCGTCATTATTTTCTTTTCTTAAATATGTATTTTTCAGTTAAGCAAAAAAAAAAAATCATACTGTTAAGAAAATATTTTAGTTTCCAGGTCATCAATTCCATGTCACTATCTAAAAATTACACATCATTTTAGTTGACCGGGTACCTACCCAAGTACTTATAAGTTTGTTATTTTACATCTCGATAAAGGTTTAGAAAGGACATTACCCAAGATAGGAATCTCACTAAAATATGTTACTTTTTCATGCAAGTTAACCTAAATTATAAGGAACAATAACTTATATACTGAAAGAAAGAAAGGACCAATCAGTCTTGGCTGATTGAGTATTAACTACTCACATTTGAATGATTACAATTAAGTTCGTTTATTAGATTTTTTTCCCCTGCCCAGTTCTTTCTATTGACATGGATGATCAAATTGATGAAAAGACAACCTGGTGAATTTTGGTGGCAGCCTGGTTCCCTTCGGGCCTGTTTGTTAGCAGCTTAATGCGACTCAGCTTATTTAGTCAGCTATACACGACCTTTCGGTAGTGCTTAATGATATAGAAAGTGGCTTATTCAGTAAGCTTCGAGGGGGAAGCTGTATGCAGGAAACCAAGTTCCTTTTTCCAAACCATCCCTCCAATTAAAAAACTCGCTCCTTCCATCTATGAAAAATCCCTCCCAAATAAAAACCTTCCCAATATATACAGACAGATTAATCCACACAGCCATACAGGACTTAATGGAAAACCAACCAAACAACCCCTTACTTCTGTTGGTTAAGTTCATTTTTGTTTCTTTTTCATAGCAATCAATTTTATGAGTCTTGATCATGTTTTTTTTAAAGTATATAAAGTCTTGATCATGTTAGCGATAGCTTTAATGCCGTTTTCTGCTATCTACAGGCTATCCTTAATGGGTTTTCGGTTGTCTTCGAGGACGTTGATAAAACTCCACTAAATGTACAATCCTTCTTGTTACCTTTTTCTGGAGGGTGCTAGTTCTTTCTTAACAGGCAAAATGGGAGGTACTTGCATTGTTTACTTGGCTTAAAATCATTTAAAGTTCCTGGTAATAGTATTCTTTCTAATGGACTTATTTGAATGCGATAAAAGTTAGGGGTCATTTACAAAATGCTTACTCGTATCACTTACCTTACCAATTGAGCACGACAAGGACCAAGAGTCATACCCAGTAAGAGGCGTAATAAGGACCAAAAATCTTACCCCATAAGTGAGGAAAAAGACTCTTACCCAGTAAACATTTTCTGAGTTTAAGACACTTACCAACAATCCATTCTGATAGCTGAGAATGTTACATGATTAGGTAAGTAAGGATAATTCTCTTGCGGTTAGCACTTGCTCAATAAGCATTTGTAAACGACCCCTTAGTTGTTGGTTAGCCGTCTAATGGTTATGGTCCCTAAGATATGGACCGGCTCCTAGGGCTGTAAACGTACTGAACAATCAACGGCTGGAAGTTCGTTTATTTAATAAATGAACGAACATGAATACATTTTTTTGTTCGTTTAGTTAAATGAACGAACATTAACAATGGTCTTGTTCGTTTATTTATGTTCATGAATGTCCGTTTATTTATGTTCATTCATTTATGTTTCTTTATATATATATAAATTTAATATCACGACATTAATATGTAAAATTATTAATTAAATTAAAATTTTAGAATTTCTTTTTCTATTCCTCTTCAATGTACCTGGTTTTCCATATTGTTATGTTATTTTTGAGGAACGAAGTGATGAGTAATGATGATTGTTTTCTGTTTCGTTCGTTTATGTTCATCTATGTTCGTTTGTTTAAGTTCGTTTAGAATCTTAATGAACTAACATAAACAAACACGAACAAGCACATTTTCTTAACAAATGAACATGAACATCGTTTACCATTTGTGTTTGTTCATTTGTACGGTTAAGTTAAGCGAACGAATGAACATGAACAAGCCTCCATTTGTGTTCGTTAGGTTCGTTACAGCCCTACCGGCTCCCATCAAAATGATCAAGTAAAAATGTTAACTGCCATCTTTGATGATGTATCATGCCTGTACTTCATGTTCAAAGTTTTCATTTTATTTTGGAGCTATGATTGTATTTGATTATGAAAGAAGAGAAGAAACAGATTTCTACGACCAGTTTGTGGGATTAATTAGAGATGCACAGCAGACCAGTTAACTGATTTTGGACTTTGCAATGACCGATAACCGGTCCAGAAAAGGCCCGGCCCAAGCACCAGTTATAGGCGAAAGCCCGTTTTTGTCCTAGTTTTTGAACCTAGGACTGGTCTTTAACGGGTTAAAAAAGCCTGGCTAAACCTGGAAACATGTCCGGTCAAAGCCCTGGTTAAAGCCCGGTCAAGGCCTCAAGTGTGTCATGTTGATGTTTACGCAGACTCGTTTAAGGATACACTTTGAATCAATTTGTACTTTTTGCAGGCAATAAGGGATAGTGAAGGCTTTCAGCAACTTTCTACGGTATCGAGCTTGAGGTTAGTTTATAAGGTCTATTTCTTAGTTCAAAATCCATCTTACTGTCTGGAATCAATTTATTAATGGCCGGAAGAAACCAGAAAATAATCCCTCTGGTTCGAAATTATAGAAAGATGTTGAAGGGTTCCATTTAAAAATAACCTTTATACAGTAATTAAAAATTGATTTAATTATGTAACTTTTTTTTTACAAAACTTATAAAAAAGGAAACTCTTAACAGGTCCAATCACACAATTAAATCTGAATAAAACAAAACATTGGGTTTTGGTTTTTGTAGGGGAGGGGAGGGTGTTTAGGAAATTACCTTTGTTGGTAGAATCTGATCAGACCACCGTAAAGAGAATGCTAGCTCAAAAACCTGATGTAATATACATTTACACATGAAATCCTATAATTGTCATAATTACAATTTTAATACATACTTTAATTATTCTACTAGTAATAATTAATAATCAATATCATAACTACATGATATTATTTGGGTTTCTAATTATCCAACAATCATATTAAAGCATACATATATATATATATATATATATATATATATATATATTTTTTTTTTTTAACAAAAAGCATACATATTCTTTGTGTGTGACCGTATAAGTTTACGGGTTGAAGACTAATTTTAGATTAAAAAGATCCACGTCACTAACCACGTCAGCAAATAATACTAAGTTGGATACCACATCACTCGCCACATCAACATGATAACCGGTTAATGTTTCAACTAGTTACTCGGGTCCTTAAATGTTTAGAACTTTACATCTTAGGTACCAAAATGAAAGTTCTGAAAATACGTTACCCAAAATATGAATTAAGTTAAAGTATGTTATTTTTTTATACAATTTGCTCTTAAAAGAAATACAATTTACTTGCCAAGACTTGAACCTAAGACCATTCTCTTACTTTAAAAGCATTGCTACTGATGGTTTGCACCTTTCTTTTTGTTTAATTTAACCAAATCGATGACACATATCTAATCAACATTGTGACATATTAAAATGTTGTAGATTTTTTCTACCGTAACGAGACAACAAAGTGGTGACATGTCACACATGCCACCATATGCACCTTATTAGTTCCGCCCATGAAACCAAACAATAACAATAACATTAACCATATAAAAAAACACAAAACAATAAATTACAATGATTTTACACTAAAATCACAACATATAATATGACCATTTTCTTTTTTGATTTCTAACTCTTTATCCTTCTTTTATGTATAATCGTTATATATATAAAACCTTAGTGGGTTTGAACACCCTTTCATATGGTGTATGTAATGTTAGTACTTCCAAGCAACATACACGTGTCTATTTTCTTATTGGTAATGGACTTAGGAAAAAGTCAATGAGACTTTGCTCTTTAACATAAAAAATACAGCACTAAAATATAGTTCATATTTTCTATCGTATATTATAATTTTAAAAATATGTATTCTTTAATTTTTTATGTGCGATTAATTAATCACATAATATCCAAATTAAGCCCATTATATTTCACTTATTAGTTAATTTACATGATTTATATTTAATGAATTTTATACTTTCAACCAATAAAATTATAACATCATACGTAATTATTTGGTCAAATGTTTCGGTTCTCCATGTTTTATATAAAAAGGTAAAATAAGTTCAAAAAAATGTATATAAAAAGAATGATCAAAATACTATTTCTAAATTCGAACAATACTAAATTTGATTCTTTGAAATAATATATTTAATCATAAATATATAATATATTTAATATATAGAGACGGGACAGGTTGGAGATCATGCTACCCGACCCCGTTTTCATCCCCGGTCTCCAGTTTTGTGGGAAATCCCTGGCCTCGTCGATGCAGGTACATTGGGTTCTTCAGTGAAACAAATCTCATTCTCATGCCTCACGTCTAATTAACTTTAAAAAATAAGAATAAATAATCAAATCCAACCTAAATTCATATATCCCCATACATTTGGTTTTGAATTCTTGGATTTAGAGGTATCAGTTTTTGCCTAAACACCTCACTTTCATTTTAAGTTTGAGTTCGAATTTTAGACCATTCGAATTTTGCATACTCCTAAGTGTGAGGATAGAAAATGTAATAAATCATATCTTTGGTGGTATTTCTACAAATTTCCGGTACTAAATCCCAAAAGAACCTATTTTTTATCAACACAAAGAAAATGCATTGAATCATGTTGATAAATGCATCTATACGTGTCACCAAAGCAGTAAAAGCATTCCCGAGGAACTCTCTCTCTCTCTTCTCTCTCAGCAAAATCTTGAAAAGCAGCCATTCGCTGGCCAACAAAGGAAGAAGGCTCGATCACTTTTAAGGGTTTCTTTCGCCATTTTTATCGATTGGGTAAGCTGTTTTGAAGCTCGTTTTGATCTCAATTTTTTAGGGAATTGGATTTATATATGTTTTCTTTCAACAACCCTGGATTCTATTCATATTGAATAGCAGTTTATTCTTATTCTTATTATTATATGTAATGAGAAGAAGACCCAAATTATCTTGAGAGGCTGAAAAGGGTTGCCTCAGATCCATGGAACCCAGATTTCACGTGTTGATGAAAAAGGTTGATACTTTTTTAGGGTTTAATCTGTGATTTTTGGTGGGTTTGGTTTCAATTGTTTTGCTTTTTTAGTTCTTGATGTTTATTGGTGAAATTAAGATTTGGGGGTTTTGTTTTTGATTGAAGAATCTTTGTATTCCGTGGATAGATTCTAAAGAACCCTAAATTTCTTGTATTATTGAAATTTTATCAGAAGGAATCATCAGATCCAGTATTTGTGACCGTTGGATCTGTTGACCATACCCTGATTCCTGATCCCCACCACAAATCTTGAATCTTGATCTCAATTTCAATCTCTTGGTGGTTTTCTTGATTTATGATGCTAAGATTATTGATCAATTTCAAGAAATAAGTTAGGTTTTGGGGTTCTTATAATTGTTAGAAAAGAGGGGTTAGATCATAGATGGAAGATATGCCTCCTGCTGTTTCAGTTACATTTAGCTTAACGAATCCGATCTCCGAGAATTCTGGACTTGGAAATCATGTCGATTTCACTCGGATGAAGCTATTTACCGAAACAGCGAGCTTGTTATCCGATCCCACAACTGTTCTTCATGGAAATCGCAATGGATTAAAAGATGATCCGAGTTTGGGAAGTTTGTTATCTCATAATGGGGTTGTTGGTGATGATATAATGGTTCAAGAAAGTGATGCAGATGAATTTATGTCGGTTGGGGACGAACCCATTGAAATCAACAGCGAGTTGCTAGCCATGAACGCAAGTTCGGGTGGTTTACCAATTGCTGTTGCAATTGAGGGGATAGAAAATGGTCAAATAGTTGCAGAATTGATTAGTTTGGAAGCCACGATAGAAACTGCAAACGAGCGTACTTTGAAAGCATCGGTAATGGCTATAGCGGAAAAGAATCATGGGAAAGGAGTAAGGAGCGTCTTCGAGTTAGAATACCGACCTCTTTGGGGATCTCATTCGGTTTGTGGTAAACGGCCAGAAATGGAAGATGCTGTTGTTTCTGTTCCTCAATTTATGCAGGTTCCTATTAAGATGTTTGTTGTGGATCATATAATCGATAGAGTGAATCCAAATTTGAGCGATTTAACTGCTCATTTTTTCGGAGTTTATGACGGGCATGGAGGCTCTCAGGTATTTCTCGATCCCCTCGGTTCATAATATTCAGAACTTCGTTAATTCGAGTACGTTTATTCATGTTTTGTCTTGTAAACTGTTAATTGGATTCATTCGTAGCTACTCATGAGTCGAAAACATGTGTAGACCGTGTCTTTCACTTCATTAAATCTGTTCAAAAATATGAAGGCGATTTTATAGAACGTAGGAAGCTTGTCATGTTAGCAACTTAACGAGCTTAATGGGACTCACAACATATTTGGTCAGCTATACTTGACTGTTTGGTTGTGGCTTAATAATATAGAAAATGGCTTGTTCAGTAAGATTTTAGGAGGAGCTTTATTCAGTAAGCCAAATTCTTTCCAAACCCGCCCCTCCCAATTACAAAATACGTGCCTTCCATTTATGAAAAAACCCTTCCAAACAAAAGCCATTCTAATAGATATAGACAGATCAATCCACACAGAGAACTTCATATACAGAACTTAATGAAAAACCTACCAAATAGCCCTTAAAAATGTTCTAATAGCATGTTTTATATGACTTAAGTTTATATGACGTTTTTGGCGTCCCAACAAATTTTTTAGGACACTTTTAAAATAAAACGCCATATTAGTGGTTTTATATGACGTTATTTGAAAAAAGTGTCCTATAAAAACAAGTGAATTTGGTTGAGGAAATTGGCTATTTTGGTCAATTTCCCTAAGGACTAACAGGAAATTTTTCAAAAGCGTCTTATTATTAGGATGCACAAATACGTCATAACATTCTACGGTAACACCTTTATGTAGTATGCATAATTGTTTGGTCCTATAAATTTAAGTCCTGTAAAGCAGTCTATCAGGACATTTAAACATATTTGGCGTCTTATAAAGCTGATTTTGTTGTAACGTGTGTTGAACCATGAAATGATTCATCAAAACTCGTTCTTATTTTTTGGTGCAGGTCGCCAATTACTGTCGTGAGCGTGTCCATATTGCTTTAGAGGAGGAGCTAAAAGTCGTGAAGCAAGAATTGGTTAAAGGGACGACCAACGACAGTGTACAAGTCGGGTGGGAAAAAGCCTTCACTAATTGCTTTCAAAAGGTAGACGATGAAGTTGGAGGGAAAGCTAGCAGAAACGGAGACCCATCCGACGTAACTTCTGAACCAATCGCCCCGGAAACCGTTGGGTCTACGGCCGTGGTTGCGTTGATCTGTTCTTCGCATATTATAATTGCAAACTGTGGTGATTCGAGAGCCGTTCTTTATCGTGGCAAAGAAGCCATGGCTTTATCAAATGATCATAAAGTAACACATATTTTCTCGCGTTATCTATTGTTAAAAAAGAAGTTTTTCAGCAAATCTAACGTGTTGCTCGAATGCCTAATTGTTTAGCCGAACAGGGAAGATGAATATGCAAGAATTGAGGCAGCCGGGGGCAAGGTTATACAATGGAATGGACACCGTGTTTTTGGCGTGCTTGCAATGTCGAGGTCGATTGGTGAGTTCGATTTTAATTATGTATTCATATTCATGTAACATATGGCCCCATTTCTTGGTACAAAATCCAAGATTTTTGTTCTTCTAAAATGTGTTAGATATTCTCCATGAGCTTAGTTAGAGTCCTACATCGCTGGATTTGGACCATTTGTGCTCGATATATGTTGGAACCTCCATTTTTTACCAAAGGGCTCTTTATGGAGAGTAGGGGCTGTTTGGTTGGTTTTCCATTAAGTCATGTATGGATAAAGCTGTCTTTGTAGATTAATATCTCTATACAAATTGGAAAGGTTTTTGTATGGGAGGGTTTTTCCATAGATGGAATGAGCATGTTTATTTAACTGTGAAGAGCAGGTATTGAAAAAACTTGGCTTTCTATATAAAGCTTTCCTTTGAAGCTTATTGAATAAGCCAATTTTTATATCATTAAGTCCCTACCAAACAGTCATGTATAGCTGACCAAATAAGCTGTGAGTCTCATTAAGCTCATTAAACTGCTAACAGAAAAACCCTAAAATGGGATTCCACATATTTTAACATGGTATTGAAGCCAAGGTCTACCATTCTAGGTACTCGCCACTCTGGGGTAATCTCTATTCGTCTAACCCAGTCTCAATACTTTGGGACTATCAGTGTCCGTCTAGCCTCTGTTGGAGAGGGTGTGACTGTGTTAGAGTCCCACATCGGCTAGACTTGAACCATTTTTCCTTTGTATATGTCGGAACTTCCATTCTATCCTTAAAAGGCTCTTGGAGAGGACAAGGCTCCACATATTTTTTACAAGCTAGAATCGTTTCAAATTCCCTTACAGAATCTTAGTTATAGAGAGGTTTGGGGGGAAAACCCTGAAAAAATGAAAACTGAGGAACACCTTGCTAACCATTCATTTTGACGGTATGCACATGTGCATACAAGTAATTGAAGTTGTTTTTTGGTTTTTATGCACATGTGCATGTATCGGGCAAATTGCTTACAAATTACTTGTGCACCGTCCAAATGAACGATTAGCAGGGTTTCTTAGTTTTTTTTTTTTTTTTTTTTGCAGTTCCCTGAACCTCACCCATCTTAATTAATATTCCATGAGTTTGGTTCTATTTTAGGGCTTAGGGTTGTCGTATTTAACCTTCTCCTCCTTGTTTTTTTGTTCATTTCGTGTGCTTTTCAGGTGATAGGTATTTGAAACCTTGGATAATACCCGAACCAGAAGTCACATTCACGGCCCGAGCAAGAGAAGACGAGTGCCTTATATTAGCGAGTGACGGTTTATGGGACGTAATATCAAACGAAGAAGCATGTGAAGTGGCAAGAAAACGAATCTTGATTTGGCATAAAAAGAATGGCGGAAACACGGCGGTCGAAAGAGACGGAAACGGAGTCGATCCTGCAGCGCAAGCAGCAGCCGACTATCTCTCCATGCTTGCTCTCCAAAAAGGAAGCAACGACAACATATCTGTGATCGTGGTCGATCTTAAAGCTCAAAGAAGGTTCAAAACAAAATCTTGAATTCAAGCTTTGAGATCAAGATTTGGTTGGTATGATGATGATGATGATATAGTTTTATAGATCAAGTTTTAATCTTTTGGTTTCTCATTGTTAAGTCCATTCATTTTTCATATGGGCTTTGAATGTGTGTATCAGAATTCTATGTATACCAAGACTACTTGTAGAGACTGCTTACCATCTTTACTAATATATGATATATATATATATATTTACACTATTGTCATCAGTTTAACTTTTTGTTGGAAGGGTGTGACAGATGAAATCTGACTTGATAAACTCAGTGGCTATAATTATTGTGTATGTCTAGAATTAAACCCTAGACAGATGGGATATTCCATCACTTCCTTCAGGATCTCAACCATTATGATACAAAATGAAATATAATTGTTAAGAGACTCCTATGATGTAGTGCAAAATGAAATATAATTGTTTACCATGAAATTAGGACGCTGAATGGTTAAGGGATGCATAAGATACAAAATCATTCATAGGGTTTTACCTACATTAAAAGACATACTTTTTTTTCGATAAACAATATTCATCTCTTAACAATTTAGAGACTGTCTTTTAATAAAATTATTAAGAAGTAAACAGAAAATAAATGATCGGCTATTTTAATGATTTGCCACGAGATGGTATGGGAGTTACTTGAAAAGAAGCACGTTTGATGGAGAGATGGTGACAAATATCTAAATTTTAGGGAAGCAGTTGGGCATTTTGTTGATTTTCTCTCATATTCTTTTTCAATACTTTATTTTCAAGCATTGACTTTTTCTCATATTATGGAGGGATGTTTGGGGTTATTAAAAAATAATTTATTAACTTATTTCGTGACATTGATAATAAGCGTTTTGAATGTTTGGATAAATAACTTATACCGGTAATAAGAAGTTTTTGAAAAAATTAAACTATTCTAACTTATAATAAGTTGATAAAAACTTTTGTAGAAAAACATAAGTTGTTTCAAATAAGCAATCCCAAACACCCCCGAAATTGATATATTATTGGTGGATCCAGAATTTTTATCGAGCAAGTGTATATTTTAAGGTGGATTAAAAGTCTGCAGTGTCGTTAGTTTTTTTTTTAGCTGAATTTCACTGTTTTGATGGGTTTGAAAAAAATTCGGTTGATTTTGAGAGGTTTTTTGGTTGATTTCAATGGGGGGTTTTTCCGGTTTTTTTATTGATTAGAATTTTATTAGTATTTAACTAATGACTAAGGGGGCGTTTGGGATTGCTTATTGTATCTGCTTATTGACTTATTTCAGTCTGACACCGGTAATAAGTTAATACCTAGTGTTTGGATAAGAAAAAATAAAACTGCTTATACCGGTGCCAAACCGGTAATAAGCAGTTTTTGATAAGTTAATCCGTCATGACTTATGAAAAACTGCTTATTACCAGTCTACCATTTTAACCCCGTTACCCTTTATACCTATCTCTTTTCCTCCAGATAACATCGATCTCAATCTTCTCCCTTCTCAGATAACAACATCAATCTTCTCCCTGTCCTTTTTGGTTATTTTACAGATATAAGCAAAATTTGCCAAACACTAAAAAACAACTTATCAGCTTATTGCAGTTTGGTACCACTATAAGCTAATCCAAACATTTTTTACAAAACTCCGACTTGATACCACATAAGTTAATAAGCACTTTTACAAAAAAACATAAATTGTTTTAAATAAGCAATCCCAAACATCCTCTAAATATATGAAATGTTTTTTAAGTAAAAGAAATTTAAAAAATATATTAAAAAAGACACGATAAAAGTCTTACCATTTGAGGTATTTGTGGGTTCATTTTAAAAGAATGGAAGAAATGTCAAATTATATCTTAGACTTTTTGAGTATATGATGTAAGGGGTGATTTATCTAAACACTTATTAGATAAGTATTTATCAGTAAAATTTAACACTATCACTTATCTTATCTAAGAAGACTTTATTCCATCAAAACGATATTATATGTAAAAATCTATTCGGTAAGCGCTAACAGGATAAGAGCCATCACCTTCACTTACAGGGTAAAACTTTTGGTCCTTGCTTTCACTCTTACCAGGTAAGATTCTTAGTCCTTATCATAATCATTCGTTAAAGTAATGTGACTTGGTAATTGTTACCCGGGTAAGCGTTTGATAAACGGCTCTTAAGCTTCAATCATTGAAGATTTTGGTAAAAATATTACAAGAGAATATGAGTATGTGATACAAACACATAATTATATATGTTATAACAGGTTTAAAAGGGACACATACAGGTGAACACGACCGGTAGTCGCAAGAAAGGTTGTGCGCTATATACCGATCGAAATAACATGTAAGATTTTGTTTCACATAATGATTAAGGGGCCGTTTACCAAACACTTACCCAGTAAGTGCTTACCAGTAAAATTTAACACTATCAATTACCTACCGGGTAAGATTTTTAGTTCACCAAAATGATATCGTATGCAACAATTTACCCGATAAGCGCTTACCGTGGTAAGAGTCGTCGCCCTCACTTACCGGGTAAAACTCTTGGTATTTATCTCGCTCTTACCGAGTAAGATTCTTGATCCTTATTATTTTTTTTTCAATAAGGTAATGTGACTTGATAAACGCTTACTCGGGTAAGCATTTGGTAAACGGCCCCTAACTTATATTTGTTTTATAATGTGATTGTTTATATTTATTCGGTTCATCGTGTGAAACTTTTTTACGTGTGTTTTTTGTTTCACAAACCCGCCGAAAAGGTTCACATTGTGAACATAATACATGTGAAACAAATATTTATCAACCATTAATAAATGAAAAGATATTATATGAAATTGCAAATGATACACCGGTTCTCATTAGATTTCATGATTAAGAGATTGAGAAGGCCCCTATATATATATATATATATATATATAGAGGTTGATTATTATACAACCCTTGACATTTGTGCAACCAATACAATTCAATCTCAACCGTTCATTTCATTTGATGAATATGTGATTTCATAGAAGTTTTGATTGTTTCCTAATATAAAGTATTAATCATAATTAATGAACTCTATTTATATTCCATAAATATTCAAATCATAATAAATGAACTCTCATCATTTCTATAAATATCTGAATTAATTGGGTTGCAAGGGTTGCACAAATACACAAGGTTGTAAAAGAAATATACCCTATATATATATATATATATATATATATATATATATATATATATGATTATGCAAAAAGTTGATCAATTTACACGAAAACGAGAAGTTCCAAGATCATAGATGATTACACGTAATAAAAACACGCAATCATCTATGATACAACACGTTCAAAAGGGACACAGACGACTTGGTCAACACGACCAAAGGTCACCCGTTATATACCGGTAAACACAATATGTGCTATATCATATATGATTCTCTTTGTATCACATGTAATCTTGGAACATCTTGGTATGCTTATAATTTACGGATTTCTTGTTTGAATCTGCATTTATATGCGCAAATTAGTTGTAGTAAGCGATTTGTCTTGCCGTTTTCAAAGAAACAAGAAATTACAAATAATAATAAATTAAAATACGATGCCGCTTTAAATAGACGTTTTTAGACCTAATTGTTTGCAGTTATCGAACATTTAGCTTAATGGTATCTGATATCGTCTTAAAGTTGTAATAGTTTTGACCCGCACAAACAATCTGGATGTATTTTGACAGTTGTCATATGACGGATTTCTATCTGATTTTTCAACGGTTTAAAACGGTGTTATGTCATATACATATAAAAGGATATATGAATGTAATAATTTCTACACACATGTCGTGTCTATGGATAATTTGGAAATATTGATAAATTTATGACATAAGTCCACGATTATTATTATTGTTTTTGATTTGTTATTAGTTGTCAATTTTGATTTGAATGTTGATTATACATACATATATATATATATGGTTGGGTTCACGTGAGACCAAAGGTTTTTCGTGAGACACGTAAGACCAATTTATGTTTATTGATCAACATTATAAGCTAATGATCTAATGGTTTAAAGTTGTACGGTGGCAATATTGTAATTATTGAGAAGTCTCGTGGCAATTTTGTGATTATGAATGTTTAGATTGTAGATCTAATCCAAGGGTTGAAAATTGGTCTTACGGATCTCACGAAAAACCATTGATCTCATATAAGATTAGGTTTCGGTGAGAAAAAAAAGTTAAAATGAGAAGTGTAAGAAGAGATCTCCACCCTTGGATGCATATTAGAAAGAGATGTACTGAGATGTATCAGATCAATCCTCGTATCAAGTGCGATTCATGGGTGAGTTTGAGATTAAAGATGATCAAGGGTCTACATCATTTCTCACGTTTCTCACCTTAATTCTTATTTTCACACAATCTTTCACACACACACACACACACACACACACACACACACACACACACATATATATATATATATATATATAAAATGTGAGTTCAAAGGAGAACAATGGCCAAATAAAATAATATGATAATGAACAAATCATATGTGATTTTACGCTAAACTCACGTGTAAAATCAAATGTGATTGCACACGACGTAGCTCACGGACCAAGCGCCCATGAATCCATGCGTTAATTGTGTTTCATATCGCATGTGATTTCAGTGCAAAATCACATATGATTTGGTTGTTGTCGCGTTATCTTATTTTGACTATATTTTCCTGTGAAGTTTCAAGTGTAAAAAAATGGTTTCACGAGTCTCACGAAAACAGGCTAATCTCACGTGATCCCAATTCTCTCTCTTAGATGAACTTGTGTAAATGCAGGTGGATCAAGATTGGTGCTCTCACCAACAAACATGTTATCGCGTGATCTCAACTGTGTGTATATGTATGCAGAAAGAGCCCAATTTTGCTACAAACTCAGTAATTCATACAAACTAACAAATGAATTTATATATTAAAGTGTAAAAATGCAGTGTTTATATAGTATTGTTTTATATGTAATACGTTTAGAATTAAATTAAATTTTTATTATTGAATATATAATTATAATTATTGTTTGATTAATGATTGATTTTTCTTTTGATATCAAAATGTATATTAAGAAACATGCAATGTTGTGCTCTTTTTCTAATGTCCATTCTCCTCTCACAAAACCGTCCATCTTACTATCAATAATTATAAAATTAATTTTAATATTTAATTATTTAATAATCAAGTATTTTTTATATAACAAAATGAAATAAAGACTTAATTACAAGTTTGGTCCCTATGGATTACCCAAAACTACAAACCGCAACGCGTTTGCGGTGCGATTTGATAAGGTTTGAAGTTTTAAGTGTAAAAAAGTGGTCTTACGGATCTCACGAAAACAGACTGATATCCCAAGTCTATATATATATAAGCGATCAAATGCAAACCATCCATCTTTGTACAAACTGTTCAAACCACCCTCATCTGTCGATTTCATTGTTTAATCTTATGAAATTTTTTAATGAAGTTGTTTAATCTCATTAAATTGTTTCATATAATACATTTTTTTGATAAAGTTGTTTCATATATAGTTATGAAATTGTTTTATATAATACTTATGGAATTTTAATGAAATATATTTCTCTAAAATTATTATAATGAATATGATAAAATCTATGATTAACACCATCCACAATAAAAAATAGTTAATCAACCTTTTATAATTACAAAAATTAAATTAAAAAAAATTATGATAAGTTGAATAAGGTTTGCATTGGTTTGCAAAGTAAACATCCTTTGTGTGTGTATATATATATAGATAGATATATGTATTTATGTATATGTATGTATATCTTCCTACCAACTTATTATGCTTAAAGCAAAACCAGAAACTTACCCCTCTCTCTCTCAACCTGAATTCATGGAGGAAGATAGGGAGGAGGAGGAGGAGACAACACCAAGATCACCATTCTGGTTACAAACCACCACCAACCTCAGCCGTATCCAACGCTACCGCCGCCGTCTCTCCGCCCTCTTCTTCAACTCCGTCGTCTTCATCATTTTCTTACTCTTTCTTGCACTTCTATCCATGGTGTTCATCATCCCATCTCTTATTCAATCCTCATACCACATTTTTAAACCAAATTCAGTCAAAAAGAGTTGGGATTCCATTAACTTAATCTTGGTTTTGATCGCTTTAGCATTTGGGTTTCTTGGTAGAAACATTAATAACGATGATAAATTGAGTTTTGATAATGAATTTGATCGGAGTTCTGAGCCGGAATTATCAACCGGAGCTCCGATCATGACTACGGAATCATCAACCCACCGGCAATGGTATGATTTCCGGGATCAACCGGTGAATTCTGTTATTGGATTAAGGAGACAAAGGACTAGCAGCTCTTATCCTGATCTCCGCGAACTATCGCCGCCAAAGAACCACCGTGCCACAGGTAATCGGCGGTTTTCAGATGATACACATTTGGATTATTATCGGGGTTTGGAGTCTAACCGGAATTATCTCCGGCAACGGAGCCGGATAGAACACTATGGTGATTCATTTTCCTATACTCCGCCGCTACAACCGCCGAATCCGGAAGAAGGATTACATTTTCCGCTACCGGAACTGCCGTCTCTCCCGCCGCAGCCGCCACCGCCACCGCAGACGGCGGCCGTGAAAAAGAAGACGAAGATAATATATCAGAATGCAGGTGGAGAAGATAGAGAAGGAAGGAGGAGCTTGGTGACCGGAAAAATCTGGTCGCCGGGAAATGAGCCGTCGGAGTATAACGGCGGGAGAGGTGAGAGGAAAAGAGGCGACGGAGAAAGGAGAAGAGCTAGAAGCTCCGAACCGAGAAAAATATTATCGCCGGTGATAGATCCGGTACCGGAACCTTCATCACCGCTGGCGTTTTCGCCGTTGACTAAAGGATTTTTTACTTCTTTTTACCATAAGAAGAAAAAAAAGCGACAGAGAGATCGGAGCGTCGACAATTTATATTCTCTTTTACACAATTCACAGCCGGCGCCGGTGAGATTTTACCAACCACCGCCGCCTCCTCCGCCGCCGCCTCCGTCAATTCTCCACAACTCGTTTCCATCTAAGAAAGAAAAGCAAAAGAGAGTTACAACAGTCACACGAGCTCCTCCTGCACCTCCGCCGCCGCCGCGTACCAAAATCCGTCCGCCACCATCCACCGTAACACGAGTGGCGCCATTCACTACCGATAAGCCACGTGCACCGTTGACGATGAGCAGTTTCACCGCCATTGATGACAGCTCAAGCGGCGGAGATTCACCGATGAAGAATATTCCTCCGCCACCGCCGCTGCCGCCGTTCAAGATGCCGGATTGGAAGTTCGCCGTGGAAGGTGACTTTGTTAGGTTGCAGAGTACGCTGAGCTCCAGAAGCGTGTCTCCTGATGGCGATGAAGCTCATTCTCCGTCGTCAGACGTGGAAGAGGCGGCGATGGCGGTGGCGCCGCCACATGAAAGCTGATAGCTTCATTGCAAGGTTCAGGGCCGGATTAAAACTTGAAAAGACAAATTCTTTGAATCAAATCCAAGGAATTGGAATGTCCAAACTGGGCCCAGGCCCAAATGATTGTTAATGGGCTTCTCTTTTTATATATTTTTCTAAATTTTAAATATTTAATATTATTTTATTTCTTATTTTAAAATAAAAATCTGGATGTTTTTAAATTGGATATTTTTAATTAAATTTTTATTGGACCTTTTTTACATTACGTTGTTCGTTAATAATTTTGATTTTCGTCCCTAAAATTTAAGAATTATTGTTTTTGTGCCAAAAATATCTAGCTGTCATGAGAAAAAAGGATCACAAAAACAGATTTATTGATTTATGGCATCTTATATCTATACTATATTATAAAGCATTTGACAAAAAAATTTAAAAATAATTTTTTATGCATAAAGTATTGTTTATTGATGCATATTATTTAAAATTCAAGACTACAAGTAAATCATGCATAAGTACGACCTATTAAAATTCAAGACTACAAGTTGATTGTGCGTAAGTATAACTTATTAAATATTCATGTTTGAATTTGTATAACTAAATGCAGATAACATAATTAAATACATGATAAACATCATTTTGAATATAAAAAATCCAAAATATAATTAAGATAATCATTGAGTTCTAACAAAATACTTAATTATTATTTTAAATAAATTATTTTATTAAACTAAAAATAAACTAGTTTTTTTTAAAATTCAATTAAATTATAATAAAATTTTGATTTAAAGAAATTACATAAAAAATAGAACTTTTAAATAGTTAATTTGATACTAATATAACTTATTTTTATCAAAATTTTATAATATATTCAAATCTATATTTCATTCAAAAATAAAAACATTTTCTTTTTCTCAAAAACCACATAAAATCGCATTATAACATCGATATACCCAAAATATAAAACGAAACATTAAAATCAAGATGTATCTCACTGAATTGCGTGAGTACCCTTCTAGTAATTAGTAAATATATACGTATGATCTATAATATACCTAAAATTGGTTAGGAATTCAGAAACCATCTACAACACGACATGTAATGTATTTATCAGGTATATGGACGAGTTATTTATCATAAATGTTGTAAGGTCTAGGAGGATGTGGTGGAATATTTCATCTGTCTGGGTTCAATTCCAGACGTCCACAACATATGTAGCCATTGAGTTACATATACATATACATATACATATACATATAATGTCCACATAGTAATATCATTATAGATTAATGAAAACGATATTGGTATATGTTGAATACCATATCAGACCGATATGGAGGACCTGTTTCATATCTCATATTGTAACGCCTTTTGGTACGGTCGTAATTGGACTCCTGGTCAATCCTCTGGCTAACTTCGGTATAATAACGGATTCTTCCTTCTTGACCTTTTCGATCCATTTGGCTTTGATTCGGATTTGTTCGATGCTTTGCTTCAAGTTCCTGACAAATGCAGGAGTCACTCGGCTGCGAAAAAACTCTTCCACCTCCTCCGCCATCTCATCGGTGCTAAACTGAAATATTGTGTTTCAAACAACTTAACTCATCATACATACGAGGTTTTAGTGGTACTCAATAGATAAAAGGTTCTGAAACTACTTACGGGTGTCACGATATCTCTAATGAAATGATGAAACACCATCCCCTGACCCCATCGTTTTATGATTGCATCCCAGTTTTCCTGTAAACGGACCCGAGGGAAGGATATCAAGCCAACGTATATCATTCGCATATGCAATGGATTGGAATTATAAACGAGCAACCGTAGGATATATTGTGGTTACCATCTTGAATTATTAATCATATATACTATACATGTATAGATAGAAAGAGAGAGGGGGGGGGAAGGGGGAGGGGGGAGGTTCTGGAGAAAACTCCAAAAAAATGAAAAACGGAGGAACACCCTGATGCACATGTGCATACAAGATTGAAGTTGTTTCTTGGTTTTTATGCACGTGTGCACACCGAAAAAATTGCTTATGAAATACTTGTACGCACATGTATGCGTATGTACCAGGGCGTTCCTTAGTTTTTCATTCTTTAAACGGTTTTCTCGTGAACTGACCCTATATATAGAGAGAGGGTCAGGTTCAAACAAGAAAGCGCTCAATTTGGTAGAAGACGAGAAGTTACAAGATCATACATGAATACATGTGATACAAGCAGGTAATGATATATGATTAAACACATATTACATTGGCCGGCATATAGCGGGCAAATGCATGTTCACCAAGTCGCCCGCGCCCCTCTTGGATGTGTTTTAATCATATATGATTACATGTTCACATCACATGCGATCATGTATGATCTCAAAACTTCTCTGCTTATTGCAAATTGAAAAACTTATAGCATGATCCTCCCTCTCCTCTCTCTCTCTCTCTCTCTCTCTCTATATATATATATATATAATCACACTGTTCCATAATTTTGGCCCTTGACACTCATGTTAGATCATCAGGTACACTTGTTCCCTCTAGCATATATATACATATATATATATGTGTGTGTGTGTGTGATTGACACCTTCATATGAAGAATGTCATCAATAAACCTACATGAAAGTTCTCCACATACTATTCAAACACTTCCGTGGTTGATTTCCATATCGTAATGATTCCAAAGTAAGACGTACTCTCTCCGTCCCAAAACAAGTGTCTACTTTTAAGTTTTAAAGGTAACGAAGTTCATTACTCACTATATTATGAAGGGTAAACTTGTCATTTAGTTGATTAAAAGGTGTAATAATTAAATTCTAAAACTGTGCCTTTTCCATATGTGGAATTTATTTTGGGATGGAGGGAGTATCTGGATTGCCAAAACAATGATGTTCAGAGAAGACACGTAGATGAAACATAGTGCACAGCCTTGTAGAAAGTCAACTTATAGTAGTTGATTTGACGGTTTACCTTTAGCCATATCCATGCTGTTTCGCGGGCTTCCATGCTTATCCGTGCAGTTACATATACTGTATCTTGTTCCCGAATCTGTGAGGGTAGCGATTAAATAGAATAATGGAATGATTCAATTGACTCGAGCATTATGGTCGAATATTGTGAGAATATATGGAACCCTCATTACATTACTCTCCAAAAGAGCCCTTAAAGAGAGAAGGGAGGATAAGGGATTTGGACCCTTTGATCACTTTTAATCCCAAACCAACCCATGAATTGCACTTTATAAGGGAATTGATCTGGTGCATCTTATTAGTGTTGATCTAGCGTTTCTCTTCAATCAGAATTCTTCTTACCCTTCTCACCATAACTTTCATTCTCACCGGAATCCAACCCTATATATAGGGCCAGGTTAAGGGAAAACCGCAAAAAATGAAAAACTGAGAAACACTCTGGTAATAATTCATCTGTACGGTATGCATATGTGCATACAAGTAATTTTTCAAGTATGCACATGTGCATACCATATAGATGAACCGTTATAAGAGCGTTCCTCAGTTTCTCATTTTTTTGGGCGGTTTCGTGAACCTCTCTCTCTCTCTATATATATATATATGTGTGTGTGTGTGTGTGAGAGAGAGAGAGAGAGAGAAATGGTCCAATTTAGCTAACATGGAACTCTAACAAATACCTCATCAGAGAACATGAGGTTTAGAACCTCTATGACTATATCTGGATCCGGAGAAGAAGCTATGCAACCTGAGGAAGGTCAAATACACCAGATGAGCAGAAAAACTTGGGTATTAAAAGGACCAAATACAAATGAAAATGGAAATATTTATATGAAATATGAATCTTACTCAGAATCCTAGTTTTCTCTTGCACTGCATCCACTTCTCTATATAACTTTAGTAGGGAATCAACCTCACTTCTGTCCACAGCACTTGAAGTTCTCATTACAGAAATGTAAGCAGCCTGAGAAAATAAAAAGTTTCTGCATCTTAGTTGTAACGCCCTATAACCCAGAACGTCATACTGGCCCAATAACCTCCAAATCAACTTAAAACATGTTGTATACCCACAAATTTGAGCTTACGAGGAGCTCACAAACTTAAGGGGCTGTTTGGTTGGATTTTTATTAAGTCTTGTATGGATAAAGTTGTCTGTGTGGATTAATATGTCTATATAGAATGAGAAGGTTTTTGTTCAGGAGGGTTTTTTCATAGATGAAATGAGCGTGTTTTTTAACTGGGAGGGGTAGGTTTCGAAAAAAAGTTGGCTTTTTGCATAAAGCTCCCCCTAAAAGCTTACTGAATAAACCACTTTTTATATCATTAAGCCACTAACAAACAATCATGTATAGCTGATTGAATAAGCTGTGAATCTCATTAAGCTTGTTAAGCTGCTGTGCTAACAAACAGACCCTAATTTCCTATCCATGTGGGACGGGTTGTTACATTCATACTTGAAACACAGAATGATGAGGACTTCCAAGAGACAAATTGGTTATAAATTAATGTTTACCTTTCTGATATCAACCGGAAACAATGACGTGTTTTTATCCTTTATGTATATCTGAAATCGCTTCTTTAATTCTTCGTGAGTTTTTCTATGACCAAAAGTAGCCAAGGCCGTAAAAACTTCTTCCCTCAACATTATATTTAAATGGCTTTCCCCAGATACAGGTTCCAGGCCTAATTTCCTGAAACATCATTTACAACCAAGCTTTTTTACAAACCGATATGATGCATCCATGTGGAATGTAGTTTTAAGCACGTTGCAAATGAAAGCCAAAATGTATGAGGATGCTATGTTATTCTCAGAATCATTAGAAAACCCCATATAGCTACGTTCTGCAAACTAGCTGATAAGCCGGTTGTTCAGTTATAAGCTAGTTGTTAGCTGAAAAGTAAGCTATTGGCTATAAACAAGCCGATAAACTAGTCATGTTTGGTATTAAAAAAAAGTGATAAACTAGATAATAATGTAAAATGACCTGAAATGACTGTTGATATATTAATTGGAAAAATATGAAACATAATCGGGAAAAAATTGGAAATTAAAAACCCTGAAGCTTAATGAAATGCTAGTGGCGTTTCAATAAGTTAGTTTGTAAGTTATTTTACGACAAACCAAACAGATCGATAACCTCAAAAAAATGTTTGCTTATGGTTGCCAAACATAGCAAAACATGGCCTATATGGCTATATATATATATATATATATAGAGAGAGAGAGAGAGAGAGAGAGAGAGGGAGGTAGGTTCAGGGAAAACTCCCCAAAAAAATTAAAAACTAAAGAACACCCTTGTAATTATTCATCTAGACGGTATGCACATGTGCATACAAGTAATTGAAGTTGTTTCTTGGTTGCCATGTGCATACAAGTAATTGAAGTTGTTTCTTGGTTTTTATGCACATTTGCATACCGGACAAATTACTTATACACATGTGCATACCATACAGATGAATAGTTATCAGGGTGTTCCTCAGTTTCGCACTTTTGCGGTTTTCCCCTGAGACCCTATATATATATATATATATATCCAAAATGTAGTAAAGATGCTTACTCTGCAGATGATATGATGACATCAATAAAAAATTGGTTCAGATGATTCCATGGATCATAAATAGCATCCTTCAATATCTTTGCAGCATTAAGGCAAGCCTGTCACGTAAACAGTGAAATGAAAAGGTCAGAGCTACCAACTCGTCATGAGAAAGGTTAGCAAAAATCACAAAAAAGTAGTACGTTGATAAGTCTTGATAATACAAGATAATCAAGATCCTCTCTGAATAGATCCATCAACGAAAGAAGAGACGATATTGACTCTTCACCGGCCTCACAAAGAGCATAGGTATCATCCAATATGCCTGTTAGCAAAACCATTTTCAGCATAGAACTTTTTATGGTGCAGATTAAAATCATTGTAGATAAAGATTATGACTGGACTAACTACAAATAGTTATCTATCCAATATCCCAATGATCCATCTATAGGTAATCAAACAACCTTTCTTTTGGAGATCGGATACTACCGGCCTCCGAGACTAGTCATACAAACAGTTTCACATATAAACATGTAATTTTAAGATTCTTAATGCTCCTGTTAGCTTAGAGTGCGTCTAGTACAATAGACAGGACAAAACAAGGATCATTGTTCCACGTTTGGCAGAAGTTTTTTGTGGAACAGAGTGGAACAAGCGTGTTCTACCCCCACCCTATGGAACACGGTGGAACAGACCTGTATTTTACCAATATAATCTCAAAACAAAACTTAATTCTCTTCTAAAACATCAAATGCATCTCCCTCTTTACATTTCATTCATTCTTTAAAATTTATCTGTTGTATTTTATGTGCTTTAAACTTTCACTTTACTATCCTCAAAATATTATTTTTATACAGTTTCTATATTTTGGTTAATTTAAGTAACTTATTGGATATTAATAATAATAAAATAATATGGAAAAGGTATAAAATAAAAATTGGATGAATTACATAAACTAATCAAAATATATAAAAGATTTAAACAACTCATTAGGGGTAAATTGGTATTTTATATGTTCTTCTATCCTGTCAAGTTATATCTTACCAAACAATGAACAACTATTCTGTCTTGTTTGGATACCAAACCCATCTTATTGTCAAGAGAAAGATAAGTGAGGCATACCAAATTTATCTTCTGGGGACAACCATTTCTCTTCTATGGCTTTCCTCAAACGAGCTGTGAGTGCACTATCATACTTCACCCTATAAAAGCCAGTGTGCCCAACGTTTACTTTGACCCACGGTTTTTCAGGAACTTCTTCATTTTTATCAGAATTTTGATGTGAACTTGTGTAAGAACCATAAAGCTCCGATATATCCAATTTTCCAATTTTTGTTTCTAAAAGGAAAGTTTTGCGGTTACTGTAGGAGCCTACTGATAAAGTTATTGGGACTATCCATTGACCTTCACCTTGCAGTCCCAATGACATAAATCGAGTCTGCAAAGTGCAAAAACAATGTTATTGGGCAATTTAGTTGACAAATTTACAGTTTTGATGTCAATTTCAGTTTTACTAAGCTTAAAAAAATAAACCTGCTCAAATTCCAAAGTGTAATCTTCAGATTTAACATATATAACTGGATACCCAGTTTGCTTTGTCCATATGTCCATAAGTTTGTTCACTTCAACACCAGATTCGTCTGAAAGAACGCTCCACAAATCCTCTGTCCTTGCGTTTTTGCATGCATATTTCTTCATGTAAGAACTCAATGATTTCTAAGTTCAGCAAACAAGTGGATTGATCAGAAACATATAGAGATATACATACATATATAGGGAAAGGTTCATTTGAGAATTGGCACGTAAAGAAGTGATCCTATCCCTTCATTTGATCAACATTTGCAACTTTGACCGTGAAGCACCGGATAATAAATCCTCGCATGGGTATGCAGAAGATAGAGGGGTAGTTTCGTAATTTTTACAAGTAGGCGGCAAAAGGGTTCACATATGAACTATATGTTCATATGTGAACCTGTTAATTAGTTTACAAGTTCATATATGAATCAGTTAAATAGTGCATATGTGAATCAGTTAATTAGTTCATATGTGAATCACAAGGGTTCATATGTGAATTAGTTCATATGTGAATCACAAGGGTTTATATGTTAATTTGTTCATATGTGAATCACACGGGTTCATATGTGAATCGGTTAAAATAGTTCATATGTGAATTACACGAGTTCACATATGAACATATAGTTCATATGTGAATCACATAGATTCCATTCGTGGCCTATTTGAAAAAGTTACGAAACCACCGTCTATTTTTTGCATAGCCGCAATTTTTGACCAGTCAAAGCCGCAATTATTGACCAGTCAAATCCGATCTTGATTGTATGAAGGGCTAGGATCACTTCTTTACTTCTCAAATATTTACCACTTCTCAAAATAACCTTTGGCTATACATACATACACACACACACACACACATATATATATATACTAGGTTCGATCCCGTGTATTACACGGGGTAATTTGAAAAAATTAAATCATGTCAGGAACTTATCTTACAGATATGAATGATCATCGAAAGTACAATATTATTTCAGACTTGTACTCTTGAAATGATTTTGAAGAATAACTCTGAAGAATGACTCTTAAGACTTGAATTTAGAAATAAAACTATATCAATAATTAGTTAAAATGAAGTTAACCCTAGAATAAAATTAAATTTAGAAATGAAACTTTATCAGTAAATTGAATTTAAAAGCAGTAAATTTAGAACAACTCTTCAGACTTGTACTCTTGAAATAACTCTTAAGTATAACTCTAAAGAATAACTTCAGACTTGGACTTATACTCTTGAAATAACTTTGAAGTAAAACTTTTCAGACTTCAGAGCTCTGTATAATCAAGAAAAGTCAACTTTTGTCGACGTCCGCCACAAATCCCCCACAAATCCATCACTGAATTTAAAAATAAAATAAAAATTAATTTCTACAACTTTCCCGATGGATTTGTAACCGATTTTTTTTACTTATTTAATACCATCACAAATTCGTTGGAAATCCATCACAAAATTGGTTTAATTTATTTAAATAAATTAATTAGCGTTAATTAATTACAATTTACGACGGATTTTAATAGATTTTATATTTTATTATACTCCGTCGGAAATGTTTAAGAAAACTTTTTTTTATTCTTTTCCCTTCCAAAAAAATATGTTTAAAAAAATCCGGCGGATTGTAATTTTCTAATAAAAAAGTTATATTCTGTCGAAACTTATAAATGTTTTATAAGAAAAAATAAAAAACTTTTTTTAATAAATCCGACGGAATATAATTTTTTATTATAAAAATTATTATTTTTAAATATATAGTTTTGGAAGGAAAAAAATATAAATAAAACTTCTTTGAACATTACCAACAGATTTCAGACGGAATTAGCATTTAACGGCGAGGGGTTTTCCGACGGCAATATCCGTCGGATAGTTGTTTTTCCTACGGATTTTGCCGTCGGAAAAACCACATTTTTTAGTAGTGATCAATGAAATGGGTATAATTGAACTGTTAATGTAAATTGTGTCTAGATACGTTCAAATGAGTCTAATTGAACCACTAATGTAAATTGTGTCTAGATACGTATTTAGGCGGGAAAAAAAGAAACCGCCTCACCAGAAGATGACACGTGTCACCCAAGTTACTTATTTATTATAAGTATAGATATATATATATATATATATATATATATATATTGCAGCGCTTCTAGTTAACAGGATACTTTTGGAAATTTATAGGTTCAACAACCTGGAAAATTTCATCACCAAGATACTCCTTTAGCATACGAACAAGAGATGATCCTTTCTTGTAGCTTATGGCATCAAAAACTTCAAGCACCGAGCTAGCATTGTGTACCTCCACCTGAAAGTGCATGCTTCTGTTGAGGAGATATCAATGTAAAATGTAAACTAGTACCAGCAATGATATTTTTTTTTACCTCAACTGGATGCGACTGTTCCAATGAATCTATGCGAAGACCACCAGCAGTCACTTCGAGGAACTGTGTCCAGATTCTCCACTCGGGAAATAAGATATCGGTTGCTAAGTAGCTTACCTATATTATCAAATTTCATAATAAAAGAATGATTGCTAGATACCACTTGGAAGCTCGAAGACTTGGCTTACATGGTGAAAAGACCTTACCCATGTCGCAAAACCCTCGTTTAGCCACAGATGAGTCCACCATTCCATTGTTACCAAGTTCCCAAACCATTGGTGCCCAACTTCATGAGTTACAACAACTGAAAGCTGACATGAAAAGAAGGCCAGAAGAATTGACAAGATAAATTCTCGAGTCCAGGCTCATTGAAACAGTGTTTTCCTTAAAACTTGAGTACTAACAAAAAGCTTGCTTATTTATATATATGTATATATATATATATGTATGTATATATATATATATGTATGTATATATATATATATGTATGTATATATATATATAGAGAGAGAGAGAGAGTGAGAGGTACTACAAAGCTGTTTTCTTATGAATTGGGTACACCACCATCTACACTTTGACAATACAGTTCTATACAGCTCAACTCAGGAAGTCTTGACCATATTACAGTATATAGACTCATGAAACAGATACTAAGTTGAAATACCATTCAAAAGTATTTCTTACTCTTTGAGTGTTAGCTGCAGCTGAATGCAAATCATCATGGAGTAGCTCAGTTTCACGATACGTGATCAGTCCATAATTTTCCATAGCCCCACCAGAGAAATCAGGAACAGCTACCATATCTAGCTTGGGAAGTGCATAAGGCATCGAGAAATACCTAGACAATTCCAAAAAGATAATAAGTGTTTCAGGTTTGGCTCTTGTATCTCTCAATTTGGTTCTGTTTATTTATTGGTTTAAAATAATTTGACTGTTGCCACAAAAAGAGTATGCCAGCAATCAAATTACAACACAAGTGGCAAAGAAGAAATGTCCTCTTTTATCAAGGAGTCATTGGCCCAGCGGTATCGAGTTACTGTAAATCCAAGCGTTCCTGGAGGTCAGGGGTTCAAACCTCACCAAATGTGAGGTGGGTGTGAGTATTTGCCGTATATAAATTTATATACATAGAAGGGTCTTCTTTTGTCTCTTTTGGATAAGATAATGCACTCTTACTGGCAATACATATGGTCTATATATTTGAAGTTACTTACTTTGTGTATAGTTCAAGAGCCTTGACTGAAATACTTAATGCTAATTTGGCCTTCTCGCTCTTACCAACAGGACAATATGCACGAACCCTGGTGCCTGCAGGAAGCAATTGCAAGAAAGTGAAACAAGCAAATTAAACAGAAGCTGGAGGTAGTGAATGTATCAAACTCAAGCACATGGGCATTAGTGCATTACCATCATGTGTTGTTTCTTCAATGTAATCAAAAACACCAATCACAACAGCCACCAAATAAGTTGGCATAATTGGAGATTCCTCGAAGCACAGACTCTTAAAATTTCCATTGATTGTCTCCTTGGAGACTGGCATATTTGACAATGCAGTCAACTCTGATGGTACATTGTCAACTGTTATCTTGAAGGTAGCCTGCATGTATTTAACAGGCAATAACTCAACCAATTCACTGCATGAACTATATAATGTATGCCCATCTACTTTATGTTTCAACACAATTTATTCGTATTTTGATCAATTAGTGCATCATCAATCCACCAAGAATTACTTGTTTGGTTTTTGAGCATCAAAATTATTATTTTTCCAAAACAAAATTTGATAATAGTAAATTCAGAACCTGGTATCAGAGTATAAACATTTATGGGATTAAAAAACTAAAAGGGATAATGAAAATTTTGAATTTGGAAAACACTATCCGAGAAAAGAATGTTTTCTCAAGGGATGGAATTTGTTAAAGAAATTTGACTATGAAGGAACTGAAATGGAATTTGACCACACGTTTGGTTGGAAATGAATATGTTAAATGATTTGGAATCTACCTGTTTGGTTGGTATGATGTAGCTTCGAAATTGGAATGAATAAACAATAAATGACCAAAATACCCCTTTCATAATGGTGGTGGTGGTCGTGTGGTTTAGAGCAATGGTGGTCGACAGTGGTTCAAATGGAGGTCATATGGGTCTGGGTAAATCAAACAGGGAAGATGGGAATAATTTTGTCTTTTGAGAAAATATTTCTCAATTGTGATGGAATGACCAAATCCATAAACGGTGGAATGTGTAGGATTCAATTTCATTCCATAGCTAAGCCAAACGCCTGATTGGAATTTGGTCAATGGAATTGATCATTCCAATTCCTTCAGATTCCACTACAAAGCAAACGCCCCCTGACTCTTTTCTTCTAGCACCGAGGAAATATATTATTGTTATTGATGTTATATACATTGCTATTTTGGACTAGAACGATGGTGTTAGAACCAAGTCAAGTTTAGTTTTTTAGTTGCTTGCATAGTCTAAACTAAAGAAAACGTGGGCATCTTGATATCCTACAATTAGGCTAGTTGAGTTGGTTAACCATGGAAGTTGTTTCCATAATCAGTGTTTAGTTGGTGGAGACCTACAGTTAAGGCCAAGTGGTTATTTTTATTTGTATTTAATCCCCTCTCCTAAAATGAAAATGGTAAGCTGAATTCTGTCAAATATATCTTGTGGTTCATTCTTACCCGAAAAGGATATCCTTTTTCCTAGGTCCTTAACAGGAACCCATCAGTTGGTATCGGAGCTTGATTGGGACCCCCATTCGGAGGTATCAAGACTCGGATATGGATACAAACAAGAAGCGGATTGAGAAAGCGGAAGAGAAGATTGAACTCTTAAAACAAGGGTTTAACTTCCTGGAGGGCAGTATCACGGACAGAATGTTCAAATTGGAGGAGACCATCACCAAGTTGACTAATGTGGTATGTGGACGTGAGCACAAGGTGAGAAAAACGGGCGGGACAAGCCGATGTTCGAGTCTAGACCCGTCAAGCTTGAATTCCCAAGGTTCAAAGGAGGAGACCCTACCGTGTGGCACACACAAGCGGAGCAATACTTCGAGTTCCAAATGATAACCGAAACCCAAAAGGTACCCCTCGCTTCTCATCACTTAGTAGGGGAAGCAAACGAGTGGTGGCAATGGCTTAAAAGAGCATATATGGAAGGAAAACAGACTGTCACCTGGGACGTGTTCATGGGGAAGATTTAAGCTTGATTTGGGCGAGGATGAAGATTTTTACGAGGCTCTGTCCAAAATCACACAGATCGGTTCGTTGCAGGATTACCAAAAGCAGTTTGAAAGGCTAGGCAACCGGGTACGTGTATGGACTCAAAAGGCTTTGGTCGGGACCTTGATGGGTGAACTCAATCCTGAAATCGCATATGCAATCCGAATGTCCAAACCACAAAATCTCAAAGACGCTATCGGGCATGCTCGCATGAAGGGTCAGCAGCTACAAAGGCAACGTGCATTTGATCCATCACCCAGCCAACTTCTCTTGGAAGCCCCTCCAGCCACACAAAAGGAAGAGATCGCTCCTCCTAAACATCTAACATGGAATGAGATGCAGCGGCAAAGGGCACGAAGACTATGCTTCAACTGTGACGAATGATTCACTCTGGGCCATCCATGCCAAGCACCTAAAATAATGTTGCTGGCTGCAGAAGAAGAGGAAAGATCGAACGCCGGAAATGAAGACGTCGATGGTGCAAAAGGCATACCGGAAGCTGCTGCAAAGATGGTCGACACCAACCTTGAGGACAAGGTTGTCCTTAATGAGGGGGTATGTTAGGACGAAGTCAAGTTTAGTTTGTTAGTTGCTTGCATGGTTTAAATTAAAGAAAAAGTGGGCATCGTGATATCCTACAATTAGGCTAGTTAGTTGGTTAACCATGGAAGTTGTTTCCATGATCAGTGTTTAGTTTGTGGAGTCCTGGAGTTCGGGCCAAGTGGTTATTTTTATTGGTACTAGTTCTGTACCCTGCAATGCTGCAGGAGCCGTGAATTTTAACGATTTTGAAGTTTCAGTGTTTTATTAGAGAAGATCTAACAATGATATAAGTTACACTTGGTCTTTACATATTAATACAATTTGAATAAATAAGAGTTATGGTTCCAATTACAGTCTATCGATGAAAAAAATTGTATAACAGGTTAAACTCCAACATATTTAAACGACTCCGCAAATGTGTTCGGTTTACACCAAGAGCAAAGAATCAAGAGATCGAGAGCGAGACTGAGAGTTTTAGAGCAATTGAATGGGAGATGAATGAAAGAACTTTTAAGGTGAATATCAATTTGAATCTCACTTTAGGGGATGGAGAGAAGACATAGAGGTATGAGAGGGTGAAAGCATGAGTGAAATGTGTCAAAAGTATCTTGAAAACATAAAAAGAAAAGGTAATAATATTCATTGGTAACTTGTACTATATGTTATTTTAATTGTAGATTAAGAGATTTTAAGACCGAATGCATAAAGTAGTAGTACTTAATGCATTATGAGCTTTTTTTAAGACTTTAAAAACTTTGTGCATAAATGTATAGTAATTTGTGCATTAAAAATTGTTTTTAAGACTTTTGACATTTCTGGTTTATAAGGTAGTATAGATAAGACATAATGCATAAAGTAGTAGTACTTAATGCATTATGAATTGTTTTTAAGACTTTGTGCATAAATGTATAGTACTTTATGTATTAAAAATCGTTTTTAAGAATTTTGATAAATTTAGTTTATAAGGTAGTATAAATATAGATTTAATCCTCTCTCCCCAAATGAAAATGGTAAGCTGAATTCTGTCAAATATCTCTTGTGGTTCATTCTTACCCGAAAAGAATATCCTTTTTCCTAGGTCCTTAATAGGAACCTATCAGATGGTTTCCGATCAATTGTCAAAATGGATTTCAAACCAGAAATTTATGAATTCAAATACCTTAAGGGCAGGTTCATCCCAGCATGGAAAACACCGCCGTGCATCAGCAGGTTCAAATTGAGTCACTGCCATATTTTTTCTTACTCCTCCATCAACGTAAGTCCTGTAAAAAATGATCAAATAAACGAAAAAGCACACACTTGTTAGCTTAAATTGATGCTTATGATTGAACAACTCAATGATAAGCCCAACTCTAAGCAAACAGAAAGGGAAGTACCCTTTATAGAAACCCTTCATATGTTCATTAAGAACTCCATCAAAATTAATCTCTAAAACACCGTCTCCTATACTGAGAGGTTCATCAAAAACCAACACAATCGTCTCGCCATCATTGTCCACCACCACTTCACTAGGAACCACTTTCTGCCATTTTCACAAACACCTGGTAAGCATTCCCAACTAGAAAAAAAAAAGCCCGAAAGATGAAACCCAATTTCACAGAATGGTTGAAGTAACTAATTACATCGTTGTTGGAGTTGGTGAAAGAAGATTCGTGAATAACAAGATCTATCGAATTCAAAACAAGGAACCGGGTGGTGTCCAGGATAGATACGTCAACAAGTACGGAGCCAGAAAAGTTGCACAATTCGAGATTGGGTTTTAAAGTTAGATCATAACGATGAGGGATTGCGAATTTTGGAAGCCTATTTTGACCTTTGAAGTGATCCATCTTCTGTGATTCGTTTTGCTTCATGGTGTTCATATCATCAGATCAGTGATGAGTGAGTATAATTTTAAAAAATTAGCAGGTGCTGGAATCAGAGGAAGATAGTCGATGGATATCCAATCCTAGTGCAGATAAGATGATGTCGTGTTTGAAAACGAGAACTGCTGGGTGACTTGACTCTGGATATTGGATGTTTTCAACTGACATTGACCGTTGCATCCAACAACTTCCTTCCATTTGTAAGGCTTCAAAATCAAACGCCACGGGTCCTTAATAGTACAGAAGCAGACAGATGTTTGGTGAAGTGGGGCTGGGAGTACGGCTGCAAATTCCACCATGTTAACGTCAACTTCAACTCGATTCCTTGACATGAAGAGTGTTGTTGTAAACTCGACGATTTACGAGCTCGAACGACGAACACCACGAAAATCGATGCATAACTGGACCAAACCAGCAAAATGATGAAGGGGGCATGGGGCTGAAGAGCGGAGATAGTCAATTGGGCTGGTCCGAACCGGGCCCGTTATGGCCCGATGATTCGGAACTGGTTACATTTTTTATGGAATTTGAAGAGTAGGGTTTATCAAAACTGGTTATATTTTTTATGGAATTTTAAGGCTCGGTTCAACCTGACCCTAATCTAGTTACGTATGGATCTGATTTTTAAAATGATTATTTTTTATAAATTATAATATAAGTTTTTTATATTTTTACTAGAAGGGTACTCGTGTAATGTATCGAGGCATATCTTAATTTCAGTGTTTTGTTTTATTCTTTTTTTATGTCAATATAATACAGTTTTATGTGGTTTTAAAATAACGATAATGTTTTTATTTTTGAATAAAATATAATTTTGAAAATATCATAAAATTTTGAAAAAAAAAATACCGATATCAGTATCAAATTAATATTTTTAAAAGTTTTTGTGTTTCGATGTAATTTTATTAATTCAATTTTTTTAATTATAATTTAATTTAGATTTACCAACAAATAAATTTAATTTAGGTTTAATAATATAATTTATACTATTTTATAAAGCATTTGACTAAAACTCTTAAAAACTCTTAAACTTGTTCATCCCTAAACGATTTCATCTCTATCCGATTTCATCTCATA